GGGGGGGGGTGGGGGGTGACGGACAGAAGGGCTGGTAGGGGGTTGAGGGGGAGGGTGAGGCGATCCGCTGGCTTATGAAGCCGGGGTAACAGAGGAGGGGTTGGAGGGGAAATGCCGCCAGGAGGCAGCGGGTTGGCAGTAGCAGCGGTTGGTGTTGCTTTGGAGGTGGGCAGCTAAACCCCCTGTGGATTGCGTCGTCGTGTGATTCACCCGCACCCGCACCCCCTCCTCCTCATCTCTTCCCCCCTCTCCCTCTTGCACATCCCTTCTGCCTGACACCTCCCCCCCCCACACACACGGTCAGTCTTGCGTCCTGTACATCTGCCCCAGCACTCTTTCCTCTTGGCAGCAGCTTCACTCGCTCGTGGTTCGTCTTTCCCCCCGCCCCACTCACTCGCTCGTGGTTCGTCTTTCCCCCCTCCCCACTCACTCGCTCGTGGTTCGTCTTTCCCCCCTCCCCACTCACTCGCTCGTGGTTCGTCTTTCCCCCCGCCCCACTCACTCGCTCGTGGTTCGTCTTTCCCCCCTCCCCACTCACTCGCTCGTGGTTCGTCTTTCCCCCCGCCCCACTCACTCACTCGTGGTTTGTCTTTCCCCCCGCCCCACTCACTCACTCGTGGTTCGTCTTTCCCCCCTCCCCCCGCCCCACTCACTCGTTCACGTGTACACGTAGGTCTATTACGGCTATTGGCAGGGGCACCGTGTGGCGATAAAGCTGGCTCACCCGACCACCGCGGCGGGGCCCGACCAGGAACACGTGGTCCGGGAGTTCGGGCGGGAGGTGGCGGCCATGAGCGCACTGCCCCCGCATAAGAGTGAGCTGACGCGAGAGAGAGAGGGCTGCTAGGGGCCCCGAGGGCAGGGGAGGGGAGGGGGTGGAGGAGGGCAGGGGAGGGGAGAGGGAGGGAGAGAGGGAGGGAGGAGGAGCGTGGTGCGGGGGTGAATTGCGGTGGAGGCAGGGTGTGCGCGTGTACGTGTACTTGTGGTGTGGAGAGGAAGGCCGAGGAAGGCCGAGGGAGGGAGGAAAGAACGCCACGAGGCGTGTCTGAGATCCAAACCATTTCCATCCCCTCTACACCCCACCCCACCCCACCCCACCCCACCCCATCCCGCACCATCCCATCCCGCACCATTTTCTCCTACGAAATCCGACACACCCTGCTTAAAAAAACCCTTCTACCTGTTTTCCCCCTTCCCGCCTCGCCGCGGCTCGCATCATCACACCGTGCCGCGTACACTGTCCCCCGACACAGATGTCCTGCAATTGCTGGCGGCCTGTACGGAGCCGCCTCATCTGGCGCTTGTGACGGACTATTGCGCGTCGGGATCGCTGTATCAGCTGTTGCACGGCCCGCGGCCTGGCGGCGGCTGCCCCCCCTGGACCCAACTCGTGTCCATCTGCCTGGGGGTGGCTCAAGGGATGGCCTGGCTCCATCGCCACTCAATCCTGCACCGGGACTTGAAGTCTGCGAACATCCTCCTGGATAACGGCGGGAACGCGAGGATTGCGGACTTTGGGCTGGCCAAGATTTACAACGGCAACCGCCAGGTGGGGGTGTGTGGGGGCTGCTTGCTGCCTGCCTGTGTGCGTGTGTGTATGTGTTTGGGGGGGGAGGGAGGGGCTGTGGTGGTTGTGTGGTGGTGGGGGTGGTAAGGATACCGATGTAGGATGTGGATGTGAGAGGGGATGTTGTGGTCCTCATTTTCTTGGGGACGGTGACGACGGCGCTGACGACGCTGCTGATACGGTGTCCCCTGCTGCTGCTGCTGCTGCTGCTGCTGGTGTTTGTGTTCTCCGGTGGTGGTGGTGCGGCAGGTTCTGACTGGCGGTCTGGGGACGTACCAGTGGGCGGCTCCAGAGGTGCTGGCGCACCAGCGGTACAGCGAGAAGGCGGATGTGTACAGGTAAGGAGTGGGGGGAGAGGGAGGGGGAGGCGGGGGAGGAGAAGGGGTTGTAACACCTCATACAGGAGGTTGGGAAGGAGGTAAAACCGTGTGGGTCGTGAATACGTGCCCGCGTTCACGACGGCCCTTTTTCGACGGTTGAGACGGTTCCGGTTCCATTTGTAGTAGGGACCCAACGCGGCCCCCCAAACCCCCCCACCCCCCACCCCCCGAGGGTGGTCGCCTCTCCTCACCAGCAGCCAACCCCCCCTGCACCCCTTGCCCCTGCTCCCCCGCCTCTCTCTCTTTCGTCTGCCGTACAGCTTCGGTATCGTCCTGTGGGAATGTCTGACTCGGAAGCTGCCGTACGAGGTGAGTCCCTATATGTACAATATGTACAATCCTCAACGCCTGTCTACCTGTCCGTTTGTTCGCCGTGGCGTGCGTGCCACCCGTGTTTGCACCCATTTTCATACGTTCAGATGCACATACAGATGCACATACAGATGCACAGGCATTCGTTGCAGCACTGATAATGATCACCGCTCTCCACCGCATCGCAAGGTTGTTTTGGTTGCGTCCTGATGCGTCGTTGTGAGGGCCGTTGTGTGAGCCGTTGTGAGCTGCTGCGGAACATGCGGGGTGTTCCTCTCCATCGCTTCCTTTTCCTCCCTTCGACATGTATGTATGTAATGTATGTATGTATGTATGTATGTGTCCCCCCAGGGTATGACGGCCGTCCAGGCGGCTCTGGGTGTCGTGACACACGGGCTCCGACCCGACATACCCCGGGTCACCCCGCACGACGTGGCGGACCTGGTGCGGGCCTGCTGGGCAGCGGTGCCTGAGCAGCGACCTTCCTTCGCACAGATTGAGGTACAGCTAGGGGTGATGCTGCAACACGCGCGAGCAGCTGCAGCTTCTGCCGCCGCCGCCGCCACTACCGCCGCAGCAGCAGCAGGAGGAGGGGGAGGGGGAGGAGGAGGGCTGTCGTCGGCGAGCGGCACTCCGCGACGAGGTGCAGTGTACGGTGGCGGCGGCGGCGGAGGAGGAGGAGGAGGAGGAGGGGGCCAGATGGGGCTGCTGCCGCCGCCGCCGCCATTGCCGATATCGCCTTTGGAGGCAGCCGCGGCGGCGGCAGCGGCGGCGGGCGGTGCGGCCATGGCGTTGCCACTGCCGTTACAACACTTGCGGCCTGTCGTGGCGCCGCCTCCTGCGGGGGCGGTGGTTTAGGCGTCAAGTTGACGTTGACGGTGAAGGCGCCCACATTTATTCATCACGGGCGGTAAACGGTTTGTTGAGCCGTTTTCATTCACCACAGGCGGTTGTGACGTTGGTTTTCGGGCTATGGGACTGAAGATTTTTAGATGGCTACCCCCATCCCCGGGTACGCCCCACCCCACCCCACCCCACCCCGGGCATTGCCCACTGCAGCCCCCCACCGCGGAAGGTGATTGCCTTTAACATGACCCTGATCACTGCATGCCCGTTGTGCGCCTTGAGGCCGGGGAGGGGGAGCGGGTCCTGAGGGGAGATGAGGAGGAGGCGGAGGAGGAGGAGGCGGAGGAGAAAGGATGTTTCGGGTTGGGGGGGAGGTGAAGGGGAGGTAGAGCTCCAGGACGGAGATGCGGATGACGGAATGTGGTTCAGGGGGTCAGGAAGAGAACGAGGGCCCCGCGTTGAGGAGAAGGTGGACCTTATGGCGCTTGTGATGAGTAGAGTAGAGTAGTTGCCACTTGGTGGTGTGCTGGCGGGGGTGATGATGATGATGATGATGATGATGATGATGGCGCTGCGGGTTTCCGTTATTGCATTCCGTTAAAACCTCACATTGTCTTTAGTTTACCCTAAACCTGGTGAATTGCGGGATGGGGGAAAATGAATGTCGCGTTGCTTCCAGGTCCCCTCCCCCTTCCCGGGGTGGATGATGCCGTGGATGTGACGGTGATGGTGTGGCGGAGGGGGGCAGCGCCGTCCCCCCCTGATGGATCCAGAGGGTGAGAGTGACGTTGGTAGTGCGGAGGAGGGGGGGACGGAGGGTGGGAGGGGGGGGAGGAGGGAGGAGTGGGAGGAGGGGATGTTGAAGCACTGATGCACCAGTGGTGCTGAGGTGGCCCTGGATGAGATGTGCCCCTTCAGATTGCGAGGAGGTTTATCCGCCTTTGTGAGTGAGTGGGTGGGTGGGTGGGTGGGGGGAAGAGGGTAAGACGAACCGCGGACGAGTAAAGCGGATTTATACGGGGGGGGGATGTCGTCGTTTGGGGTGGCTCTCTGCCTCTAGGTGCGGCGTCCTGGGATGTGGAGGAGTCTAATCTTGTTGTTGTTGTTGTTGCAGTCGTGACAGCAGGCCCCCAAAACGCCCAACGGCCCCGGCAGCAACCACGACACGACAACGAGACACAGCACAGCTACCCCGTCGGTTGTCGGTTGTCGCGGTTGTGTGTGGAGGTGTCGGAAGAGGGGCGAGGTCCGGTCGGGCCCCACACTACCCCCCGGCCCCGCACACTCCCTTCTGCGCACTCTCGCGCCCACTGCCGGGAAGCCGCCAATGTGCCCCAAACCCCAACCACCCCGGAGAGGGGGGAGAGAGAGAGAGAGAGGGAGAGCGAGAGAGGGGGGAGAGAGATTTTTTGCAAAGCTGCCTTTGCTACTGCTACTGCCACTGCTGCTTGTCCTATAGAGCTGCTGCTCGTCCATTCCGTACATTGCGACACGGGCTGGGCCTATGTTTACGTACAGCTATATACCAAGTTGGCGAGCAAACACCTCCAGAACACAGAAACATTTTCTCAACACCGTTTCGGACGAACGCGCCCCGAAATATTTCCTAGACAGGCAACTAATGCTCTGGGAGTGCTCTCCCTGTTTCCCGCGTGTGTGTGGGGTGGGGTGGGGTGGGGTGGGGTGGGGTGGTCATCCAAGGCTTGACGGCGTAGGAGGGGTTGGCCATCAGCAGGCCACCCAGGTCTTTCGCGTCTTGATGGCTGTTGTTGACACGTTGTTCCGACATTGTTGGCCCGACCAAAATGGTGTGATAGGAAATAGGGTCCAAAACAGGCCCTGGACTGGAGGCACTTTGGCACCTCCTGGCCATTCTGGAGGGAGCCCTCCGCCTTGGGATAGTGTGTATGTGCTTTTCTGAATAATTGACTGGCGAATGTATCTATTTGTGTACGTACGCATGTATGTATGCATGCATGCATGTGTCGGTGTGTTTGCTTTGTGTGTGAACTGTAAGGACGCCAAGAAAGGCGAGAAGTAGGATATGTGTGACGGGTCTAAGGGTTGTGTGTGTGCGTGCGTGTGTGTGTGTGTGCATGTGCGTATGTATGTGTGTCAGTCTGGCATTCCGCAGGTGAGCGAGTAGAAACCGGCATATCGCCTTCATATGTTACCAACTTGGGGTTGTTTGGATGGTGTTGACCTCCGCGGTGTGTGCTGTCTTTCCGGCAGACGAAGGGAGAAGGGGTTAAGTAACATGTAAGTGAAGACAGTTAAGTAAAGTCTTTACTTACTAAACGGGCCGCTCAGCGCGGTGACGGCTGTAGCTGTGGACGGCGAATTGGCGGTCGGTGATTCAGTATGTCGGCGGCCGACCGACAAATAGACAGACAGACGTACAGGGAGACAACGAACAGACATTCAGGTGCGGGAACGTAACGACAAGCGCACGTTTAGTTGCCAAAACCGTTTTTCCCATCTCTCTCCTTCCGTTCCAAGCTCTTTGTCTTTTTATGTTTAGATGTTTACGATGTGAGTGAGAGAACTTCATGTGGGAGTGGCGGCTGAGGTCTCTCATCGCCTGCTGTGCAAATCCTTTGACTTTTTGACTTGGCGGAGTACTTTTGCTCTCAGTCCAAAATGCAAACGATTGGATACGGCTCCAAGTTTGCACATTGCGCGACGCCACGCCTCCACGACGTTTTTTCGAATGTTACCGTATCTGCTTAAGGGTAAGGTACCAGCAGACAAAGGACGAATGGGGGTTACAAGTCAGGAGGCGTCTAGTGGGCACATGTTTCACCTGCGACCCCAGAGCATGAACGGTAACCCCCTCCCCCCCTCGCACCGCGTTGAGGACAGGCTCGATAGTGGTAGTGCTGAACTGCCGGTCAATTTGCGATAGTCAGTCCCCCATACGCTGGTGGCATCGCGCCAGGTTTATCCGTGTTTCCGGAACACTCCGATGATGGGGCGTAGTGGGGCGACATTAAGGAAGTGTTCCGACAGGATTGTGGTCGGCACGGGCGAATTTTAGTGATGGGACTTTGCGAGGGGGAAGCACTGCTAGCGTATTTCATCTTGCATTATTGGGCCGGGACGGGGCGGGCAGCTGCCGGACCGCCGCTTTCTGTGGGCGGCGTCCCGTCTAAGGCGCGCGTGTGTAGCGCATAGTGTATCGGGAATGTATTCCAGATACGGTACGTGTTGAACCCTTCCCTGCTGCGATCCTTCTATGCCCTACCTGACTAAGGCTGGACACAGTCACCTCACTCCTCTGCCTGCAAGACGTGTGTGACTGATAAGAAGGTGGGTGCATGGGACTCACTGCATGGACTTGGACGCGGACATAAAACCTTTGTTGGAAAGACTGCAGTTTCGTTCCGTCTTCACCAGTCAGCTAATTCTCTGCCGTGTGCCGTGTGAAGTTCTTTGCTATACAGCTCTCTAGGGTGTCCCAACTCCGGCAACTGATCTCCCCTGGCCGGGGACATACCGATGAGCCGCCGGCGCGGCAGGGAAAGGGCAGGGCAGGGCGGTGCACGGCAGAGTGCTCATGGGACTGCAGACGGGAATGGGAGGAAGAGCTCCAGCCGCAGGCCCAGGTAACACAACACGACCGCACGGGTGCGCGAAGGAGAGCAGAGGTAAACAACACCGAGTTTTGTTTTGTAAACATCCAATGGGGCCTCCAGCTGGCTGGTGGCGACGTTGCCACAAAGAAAGCTCCTATGCAGTCATGCGAATGCCGAGAAGTCGCGGAAAAAAATTAAAGGTGATTTAATCCCAACCTTGGATCCAAAGCGCCTCAGGTCGCCGCCCTCAATCACTCCCAGGCGTCACGTACACCCGTGTGGTGAAACACCCCTGCTGTCCAAAACCCTAAAACCCCAGCCTCTACCAACCAGGCTTGACGGTCCTCCAAAGCATATGGGTCGATCAGTAGAAGAGTATTTATTATACGCATTACTAAAGGCAGTTAGTCTACACAAACGCCTCCCAGTGCAAAATCCAGCAAAAAAATGTGGTGTGCCAGAGGTCTGTTGGGGGGGGGAAGTATTGAACAGCAGCAGCAGCAGCAGCACCTTCAGAGCATCTCTCGGCAATCCCTCCTTCCACTGCCACTGCCAAGAGAGAGATCTGGACAGAGCCTCATTTGCCCGGGGATTGATATGGAATGGAAAACAAACGTCGAAGGAGAAGAAGCAACACGTGTGTGTGCGTGTATTGTGTGCGTGTGCGGGGGGGTCTGGGCGCGTCTGAGGACGCTCACGGGACGCACTCCCCCCTTGCTGCACACACCCCATGTTACCTGGGGGCCCCAGTCAAAAGGTCACTACGACCCTCCCTCCCACAAAAAACGGCCTCCCCCCCCCCGGAATGCACTCCTCGCCACACAGCCCCAATGGCTGGCTTCCCCTCCGAATCTGCCTCTGAGCCCCTGGCCTGACAGCCGTCGACCACCAGCGCATTAAAATGTACCTTGTCAGCCGCATCGAGCCCGATGACCCCGAGATGGCCTCAAAGCCGTTTCCATCAATTCAAGTCCGAGGGCTATATACTCCTTCCACCTTCCACTTCCAACCGTCCCGTACATTTCGTACATTCGCAACCGGCGCCGGATTCCTTCTACTGATGCTCTTGTGTCGCACCTGCTGCTGCTGTACGGTGCTGCGCCGGCGCCGGCGGTGGCAGCACAGTCCACAGTCACACCATCGCGACCGAGACAAGAACCCCAAAGGGGTGCGGACGGGACGGGACGGGGATGCACCGGACCGGGAAGAACACGCTGTAGTAAACAAGAACACGCAGCAACGGCCGCATTTCACCCAGCCATGCAGATGACCAAACGCGGTCGTGTGGTCTATGCTGCGGGAACCGGAGGACTGTCTCTGGCTGCACCGGGATTCGGCAGTGGTTAGCCTTACCCTCCCCCTCCTTACCCCGCCCAGATAGGCTAGATAGGCTGCAGCTGTCGGTCGCTGTTCCCCTTCTCCCGGCCCCGGCAGGCAGCTCCACAGTCCCGGAGTCCCATTACTCCATCCGCCACATTCCCTCTCCTCTCCGCTCATCACACTGGAGGGAGGGGGGAGGGCCGCTCACAGCGCGTCGGTCGGTCGGGTGCACTGCTGCCCTCGCTCAGCTCAAGATACCTCTGGGAGGCTGTTGTAGACCGTGCTCCACAACTCCCACACCTCTTCCCGACCCCATGCGACTCAGCCAGCCAAACCCCAAAAGCGCCATTGCGCGGGGGAACCGGCGCGTTGTTCAACGTCGCTGTCGCCGACGCGCAGCCTGCTGCGCGCCGCCGGCGCCCCCCCACGCGCCATACCATCGCATCTTTGCGGCACTCTTACTGAAGTGCGCCCAGCGCTGCGCTGCTCAGGCGGACGATGACGTCGTCGCCGCCGCCGCCGCCGCGGCCACCGCCTTAGGCGCGGTCGCCTTCGCGATCAGCAGCGCGCCCGTCACCGCCGCCGCCAACAACACCCAGCCGCCCAGGTCCCACACCCACTCGGATACACCAGAGGTCGCGGCGGCTCCCTTCTTAGCGCCGTTGCCACCTCCGCCGCCCATCTCGCCTCCGCCACCACTTTGCGCTATGTGGCTCTGAATCTCGTCGTAGTAGTTTGGAGCCTACCAGCCGCATATATGCCGTGGCCGCAGACAACCGCAATTTAACAAAAAAGTCCGCGACGGTGGGTACAAGATCATCGCATCGTACAGGAGGGGGTGGCAGGAAGTGGTTTTTAACATATATATCGACATGTTGTGTTGGTAACGGAGGTGGAGTCTAGGGATATGTGGGTCGTCAACGTCGCGGTCCCTCTTCTCTCTTCACTCACGGGGAGGAATCACCCAGGTTGCATCACCCAGAAGCAGCAGGAGCAGGAACAGGAACAGGAGGGAAAGACGAACCACACACGATTGAAGCTGCTGCCAGGGCAAGAGAGTATCAAACGTAGGAACAGGAGGGCCGCAAGTCCCCCCCTACACACGCACACACACCATCAGCACCACCTACGGGCCCCACCCACCCACCCCGGAGGTCCGGCCGCAACGGGATGCGTCGTCGTCGTCGTTGTTGTGCTGCAGCAGACAGCGTTCCTTTCCCCGCCCCCAAACACACCTCCCCCTCTCCTGCTTTCAACGCTCCCCCCGACACGTCTCACGTCACGTCCGGAAGCAGTGCACGCTACCTGCTGTGCCCTTGACAGTGCTGCCTCCCCGCCCCTCCCCTCCCCCCTCCCCGGAGCGAGGTCCATCCCCACCTTATCGCACATCTCCAGGGCCTTCTTATACGTATCATTCGACGGCTCCTGTCACCATGATGATGTGATAGGACACAAGTAATTATGTTCATTCACGATATCACGATATGTTCAATAACCATAACGACGACTATGATGCAAGAGGATGGGATGGAAATGACGTGACGGCTGATTTGATATTATATAATTTCTGGAAAGGGTCCCCCGCGGGCCCCCGCAGGGTGGGTGTGGATTGTGGGATTCACTCCAGGAGGAGGAGAGTGTACTTTCCAGAACAAGGGGATGGATCCCTCCTCCCAGCTCTGCAGCAGCTCCTTATATAAAGTGACAGACCGGACCGGGACGGAGCGCTCACGCACCTTGTCGTAGCAGTGCTTGAAGGCTTTCGTGGCCTCTTTAAAGTTCTGGTTAGCCTTGGCTTTATCCGGACACAGGAAGCCCTGTGCGTCATGAGTGGGTGATAGAGGGCGGGTGGCTTTATCCGGACACAGGAAGCCCTGTGCGTCATGAGTGGGTGATAGAGGGCGGGTGGCTTTATCCGGACACAGGAAGCCCTGTGCGTCATGAGTGGGTGATAGAGGGCGGGTGGCTTTATCCGGACACAGGAAGCCCTGTGCGTCATGAGTGGGTGATAGAGGGTGGGTGGCTTTATCCGGACACAGGAAGCCCTGTGCGTCATGAGTGGGTGATAGAGGGCGGGTGGCTTTATCCGGACACAGGAAGCCCTGTGCGTCATGAGTGGGTGATAGAGGGTGGGTGGCTTTATCCGGACACAGGAAGCCCTGTGCGTCATGAGTGGGTGATAGAGGGCGGGTGGCTTTATCCGGACACAGGAAGCCCTGTGCGTCATGGGTGGGTGATAGAGGGCGGGTGGCTTTATCCGGACACAGGAAGCCCTGTGCGTCATGGGTGGGTGATAGAGGGTGGGTGGCTTTATCCGGACACAGGAAGCCCTGTGCGTCATGGGTGGGTGATAGAGGGTGGGTGGATGGGTAATAGAGGAACAACACCAACGACACCGTGTGACGAGACGCTAGATGACGCCCGAGGGGGGCCCTGCAACGTAATTCCACCGTTTTTCCATCCCTTAGAGTTTTAATTTAACCAATCAATCTGGGGATATAATGGAAGAATTGCGGCGTGCGGGGGGGAAACAGGTAATTGGCCACACGGGTGTGTGGCAAGTGGTGTACGTGGATGCGTGGTAACGACAGCTAGGCTCTAGGCTAATGCTCTGTGGCACTTGTACGAAGAAATAGGCTTTCACAATTCTTCCCTATGTATTGAAGGGGCTCCAGGACGTTAACAGCTGCCGTAACTTTGTCCAGCTAGCTGGGTGAGACAACGAGAGATAAAATGAGAAAAATGTGCCTCATGGATGTGTAGCGACGCATTTCTGATAGCCATGTAACGACTGGCCATGCGTATCCCGGCTCGATAAATCACGAGGAACCGCTATCAAACGCAGGCATGCGGGGGGGAGGAGAAGGGCTGCTGCATGGACGGGACATGGGTAACTTTAGCAAGCTTGGCTGTGACCCTGGAAGATGCGGATGTGTCCTTGCGTAACGACGTACCAGCGAAGTATACGCATTGCCTAAGCACCAATAAGCGTCGGTACGGTCGTTGTCGAGGGATATTGCTTGTTGAAGCTTGGCGATGGCCTGTGGATCAAACATGAACGGACTTCAGTTGCTGGGATCCGCCGACACCCCATGCTAGCAGGTCTTTTGTCAAGACCGGCATAGACTCTGGCTGACCTCCTTGATCGTGTCCGCAGACTCATCTCCTTGCTTGAAGTGAGCAAGTTCCAGGAGCGCACCTCCCCAACGGACAAGCGCCTGCGGCGGCCAGTAAGAACCTTGCAAAAACGCTTTTCATATGGCGCTGAAGACCAAAAAAACATACCTGAACATTTGAATTGTCGGCCTCAAACTCCCGCTGCGCCTGTTGCCTTGCTATCTCGAAAAACTGCTCCCTGTTTTCCCCAACGAGAGATGCGGTAACGACATACGTTCCAAATCACAGGCGACCCCGTTACAGTAATCTCTTAACTGCTCGTTTTACCTTTCAGGATCATCACCGAAGAGTGACATTGTTTCTTGTTCCTGTAAATCCCAGGCTTAGCACCCTTTGGTACTGCTGCAGCAGAAGTGAAACAAAATAATACACCTCTACCGTCCTAGAGTATAAAACAGCTTATTTGATAGCAGCTTCATCAATATCGGAACGGACCAGAGGTACGGCTCAGTCGAAATTCGGACCAACGAACTTTGGATTCTGCTTTGTGTATTTTGCAAACCTGACTCAACACATTATGGCACGAGCAGATGACGGAGAGCGATTGCGCACGAGTCTACATCGCCAGAGACACCCCTCAGAAGGCTAACGAAAAATGGCGGCACGTGTTTCACCCACCCGACACCTTTTGCATCCATTTCCTGTTACCATCCCACATAGTCGACTCGTATTAATCCTGCCTCACATCTTTATGACGGCTCTCTAATCTTCCGAGATGGTGTGGCCCCGCGTTGGGTTCTAAAGATATTGTAACAGCAGTTTAGCGCCGCCACGACCCATTTTCTTTGGCTTTCACACACACGCCCTCTCTTCCTGAGATTATGCCTCCTTCTGGTAACGGTTAAACTTCCAGCTCTGCAAACGACCTGTTTTCATCTAGTATCAACAACTGAGACAGCGCCTCATCCGATAACGCGAGGGTACTGAAACTCGTACATAATTCGTCCAAAATAGGATGCGTCGTACATCTCCTCAGATCATGAGCAGCAACATCTCCTATCCCCCCTCTCTTCCATCACGTACTCCTAAAAATACATCTTTTCCTGCCGTACCTATGCCCAGAGCGGAGTCTGCGGGCAATCCGCCTCACCCAGCCATGCTGCGACCGAGCGCATCTCTCTCACTCCAAGACACTCAGCCTGCCCACCACGAAACCGTGTCTGCCAGTCCCCCGGCGAGATATGGGCGAGATGTTGAGTTAGGTAACCAAGGGGCCGCAAGGAGACGGAGGTATGTAATGCCGTACACAAGAGGTAATCACCCTACTGTTTGTACGGCAAACACGGAGCCATCGTTATCCTAGCTGCTAGTGCTTTGGGCCAGCTCTATTTGCTAACCGCATTGCCGCAGCGGCGACGAGGGCATGGTAAAAGGATAGAGCATCGCTGGCATGCCCATGGTTCTTTCTTTGGTCAATGCCACGGATTGCAGATGCTGGGGTAGTTTGGTTTCGCGGCTCTGGAAAAAGCAAGGAGGCAGTGCAGCCATGCCTGTACAAATGTTGCAGTAAATTAGCTCCTATTCACCTGAATCCACCTGAATGCCACCACTGCCTTTCCCTCCTTGAGTCCTTGAGGCCCCCGAAGCCACTTCCCCGTCACGTCCTTTTCTGCCCTGTAGACGTTTATTTTTTTGTTGGCTCTAATTTTGTTAAGCGTGTCAGGCGCCCTTGGTGGCTGTTGTGGGGCCCTCGTCCACTCCTGCCCTGGGTTATCCTGCAATTATAGAAAGAGCATCTTTCTTGGCTTGCGCCTGTTTCAATCGTTCGTCAACATTTAGCTTTAGTGGCGGCCTCGTGGGACACATGTAGCTCTTGCGGATGGGTTGGAGCGAATATGGATTGCTATTGTGACTTGGAACAGACGCACCTCTCGCTAACGCTGCCTCACTGGGGAGGGGGGCCTAAAAGCTCTTGGTTGGGATTGGATTGATCTCGTTCACCGGCCCCGCAAGCTGCCACGGCCCTTTTGGATGCTTGCGGCCATGCAATCAGAAATTCTCCTATTCTTTTGCCTAGCTATGCTTGCTCGCTGCAGAATCTAGGGAAGTAATGTCCTCCCTTTGGTCGTCCCGTAAAGGGGAACCAAAGCCCCGGAAGGGAATGATGACAACCCCGTTTGTTCCCCATCCTCTTTGTTCTTCATCCCCTTTAGGTGATGACCTGAGGGGGGTCCTCGACTGGTTACATACAAATGTGAGTCGCATGCAGACAAGTCGGGTTTCGGCTTCCTCGAAGCCGGAAAAAGGGCGGGCCCCCCCTGCATCCGTAGCTAGCGCGGCACGTGTGACAATTGATGGGTAGTGTCAACGCGGTGGGAGATGTGCTTTGTTGCAGCAGTACTGATGGTGTGGGAGCTAAGCTTGCACCGGCGGAATCGTCAGCACCGCCTGCGGGCTCCACGCGAATCGCATCCATCCCGGGTGCATGCCGCATGGACAGTGCGGCAGACCGCAAGTCGGAATGCCCGTGCGGGCAAATGGTAACGAAAGCTGGGTTAATTTCGGTGCTGTCTGTGATGTTTATCCCCGAAGCGCCAGCGGCCTCAGCAATCCGCCCCACAGCCGCGAGCTTCATCGCGGCACACCGCAAGTCTCCGGAGGCCCCGAGCATTGGCTAAAATAAATGTACAAATGAGCAACTTGCGTATTTCATAGAGAAATGTAAGCAAATTTGTCGGCCTGCTTGGTGGCAAGTCGGAATGCCCGTGCGGGCAAATGGTAACACAAGCTGGGTGTTCAAGTTATCATACGCTGTCATCTCGGAAATCAATGATGAGACACACGGCACCTTTTTGAGACGAAATTTAGCCCGAGAGGCGTTGATGTGACTATGAGCTCGGTCAATGGAGGCAGCCAAATTTGTTTGTGCTCATACAATCTTTGTTAGCTACATGCGAGATACCTTGCAATAGAGAATGCTATATAGTACCGATAACGCGTTTCAGCCGGGTGAAATGTTATGTTTGGTCCGTTACACACACACGCACACGCACACGGACATGGGCAATCCTACAGGTCGGGGCCCCCCTGGGCGCTTCGCGCTGGGGCCCCGCCCAAAAAGGCTCGGTTTTCCGGGCAGGCCCCGCTGCAGGGAAGGTCATGCCCCGGGCCAACACCCCACCTATAGCGCCTTAGCTACACAGGAACACGAGCGGAAGGCCATCAGCTAACCTCACTACCGCCACAACCATCAGCACCATGTGTCGCAATGGTTTTCCCTTTAATCCCATTGGTCATATATAGCAAGCATTGGTCTTTCTTCTCCGGCAAGGAAGCCGGAAAGGCGTGTCCTCGACCTTACCTGGTCCATTTGCCGCCCTTGTATGAAAAACGCGGAGATACAGGACATCCGCACACGCCGCAACGTTCGTTTGCGTGTTTTAATGCACACATTCCCCGCATTCTCACAGGACCCCCATCGGTCCTGCTTTTGCTGTCCTTGCCCCCGGTGCTCAGGAACACACACACACACACACACACACACACACAGTCTCGGCACGCAGTCCATGCTATGCTTCAAGAGACACAGCAGCCGCAGCTATAACCCAGCACAGCACAGCTAGGACAGAAGTAAGGCGCAACGCGCAACAACGCACATCGAAAGATGCATATAAATGCTGACCATGGACAGCAAAAGCAGCTTTTTCCCGCCTAGCACCTGTCACCACATCGGACGGAAGGGCGCCCCCACAGCTACATCCCCCCGGCAGCAGCTCTAGTTCTGCAGGTGTCCAGTGGTTTATTAATGACCACCCAATGTCGTCAGCCACCGGCCCTCACACGCGCTACCCCCTACTCAGCCCATAGATGACCGGACCCAAGATGGACAGTATTTCAGACATATGGACAGACCCATGGAACCAAATTGCTAGGGCCATATTTGAGTCCCTCGCGCAACTGCTTTTCTTCATTTGAGTCCCTCACCATCTCGACCTCACCTGCACCCTCTGCCCCTTGAGAGAGCGAAACAGAGAGAGCGAAAACTCCGGCGGGCATCACCCCCGGCCCCATGATGCAGCGTTCCCCACGCCGACACTCCCATGCTTCCCACGAGAGCACACCACCCGACTTCACCTCCTACCCAAAGCTGAACTACAAAGCACATCCCAAAAACAATGCCGAGCACTCCAGAAACGTTTATCCCTAAGCTAACAGGCACAACCAACCATGTCTGCACTAGAAGTTCTTCTCAAAAATCATCCAGCGTCTTGTGCACCTTGGACTTTGTGACAGCAGTGACGAGACCGGCGCTCTTGGGCGCCGACACGGGGAAAGACTTGGTGAAGTGTTGCGAGGCGGCCGTGTAGGTGAGCGGCATGTCAGCCTGCGCCGGTGTCTTCAGCCCATACGTGTTCGTGGTGGTGGTATACACGGGGTGCTGCTCCTTGGCGTTGTGCCGGCGAGTTGTGGCATCAGCGAACCGCACCGGCATGGAGCTGCCGGCCTTAACGCCGCCGCCGCAGTGGCCCGTACCGCCTGACCCGCCGAGCAGCACCGACGCGCCTGTAATGCCGCGTCCTGCCATCGCTGCCAGATCGTGGTGCCGGTCGCCGCGCAGCCAACTGTCGTAGAACTCGCCGTACAGCTTCCGTAGCTCGGGATCCACGCACGGCTCCGGCGGCCGTGCCGCCTTGCGCTCCGCTATCAACCGCACACCCGCCGCCGCAGAGCCGCCTGTAATGGTGCGCGCCTCGTGCAGCTCCTGCAACTTGCGTGCGGCCTCCAATGCCCGTGCGGCGTCGCCCTTGTAGCCGGCCTTCTCTTTCGCATAAAACGCATAAAAGTTGGAGGTCATTGTCACATGATAGGCATCCGAGAGGCGGAAGAAGCAATCCAGAGGCATGGCGTACATGGGCGGATGCGCAATGTTGCCCGGCTGCAGCGAGGAGATCATGTCGCCAAGCGTCGACGACGCGGACGTGCCCGCCGCCGCCGCGGCGGCGACGACGCGCTCCAACGCCTGGGGCCGCAGCACCGCCACCGGTGCTAGCACTGCCGTGAGCGCTGCACTGTCTGGGATGCCGCCGGGCGTCGGATCCATCCCCGTCACGCGCTGTGATGACGTCTCCGCCGCCGTCGCCGGATCCTCTACCTGAACGACTGCTTCCCCTTCCAAAGCCATGCCCTCTGGTGCCGCCATGTACAGCAACGTGTCCTTGGCTCGCATGACAGCGTGCTCCACTGCGCGCGCGACGCTGAAACCAGGGCCGCACAACGCGTCGGCCTCTGCGATGAGCAGACTGCCGCCGGCCACCGATGCCGGCGCGACCGACAGGAACGTAGCCACGTCGGCGGCCAGGCCGAGGCTGTCTTCCGCGCCATTGCTCAGCACGTTGCCAAGCGGAAAGCCGCCGGCGGAGAGACGCGGATCAGCCGCCCAGGTGCGGACGTCAGCGATGTTGTTTTCATTGCACAAGATGAAGACCTGTTCGGGGGGTGGGATGGGAAGTAGGTGAAAATGTGCACGGGATGTAGGGTTTTCTGGTGCGGGTGCGGGTTGTGTTGGTTTTGGCTTCGCGTGGCCTTTGGTGAAAAGGGCCGTCTACTCAAGGAGCCGGAGTGGGCAGCCAGCCCGCCAGCCAGCCAGCCCGCCAGGTTGCGATACACACAGACACACAGGAGAGGCATTTGGGTCGACGACGTTTTTTCCGTAACCCACGTCAGCATGTGAGTAGGTTGCGGTCTTATAGCGTTAAAAGTCCCGGTAAGGGAGCGTCCTCCCTGGAGGGAAACCAAACGAGGCGACCAGGACGAGCAGGTCTGCCGCAGCCAACCGACCGAGCCCCGCTAGACGGGGCCGGGTAGGGCGCATTTACGCGAGCAACGAGGGCAGCAACGAGGCAGCAACGAGGGCAGGTGTGCCGCGCTTTTCAACACAGGCGTTCAGTTAGCGGACATCATCAATGATGAAACTGGACTATATGGCTGCATTGACATGAAGTTATGCATTTGGTGAAGCGTCGTCGTACCTTCTCCTCCAATGGTGATAATCGGGAGCATTGCTGGATGGCCGCCAGCCAGTGGTTAAGCACGGGCTGGCCGTTAACTCCAAGCAGGACTTTTGGCACACCATCCGTGCCGCCAATTAGGTATGTGTAAGATTCTGATCATTTGGAGTTTCGGGAGGGATGGAAAAGGTCGAGGGGCAGGTGAGGAAGACCTTCACAGGCGCTGCGCCACGGGCCGCGTGTTGGAGCGAGGAACGGATTACGGAGGCAGCGCTCTGAGAATTCCGGGGACCCAGTTCACGTAAGCTACATCACTTAATGATAAGGGAATTCGGAGCTTGACGTTTCGCCGATACACGGCCGGGTGTTCTCTCAGGAATGCAAAATGTCACGTAGCGGAGCAAGCGGTTCACGCAGTCGTTAGGCCAGCTTACTTTTTGAGGCAAGCTCATCAGCCAAAGCTCGTCCCGAGGATGTGGCGACAAGCAGAGCGGCAACCTGTGTTGGTTGGGCCGACGCAGTTGTTGGCGAATGGCTGGAGATGGCAGCGTGGGTTGTTCATGTGTATAGGTGCTCAAGCGGTCCTCATGAATAAGCCAACACATACCTGGGCCATGCTTGCAAAGCTTTGGATCGCACAACAACAAGCTAGTTGGCTTCGTACCGGGCGACAGAAAGAAACGCAATTTGTAACTCTTTTGTTCAATGCATATAACCCTGATTTGGGCAAAATATAGGTGGATAGGCAAGAAATGATACTTCCTGGAAGCACAAAAGAAGTCGCCGTACATCTAATTTGGTCGACACTCCTTTTATGTCGCGGGTTACCTTCTTTTCCGGCACATGGCAGCTTTTGTTAAAAGTATTCATCTAGAAGTTGTGTCTGACCATAACTGTGGGTAATCTCCGTTGTATTGCGCTCCGGAATCGGTGGACAGGCCAAGTCGCCTCCTTGAAGGACACGTTACAGTTACACAGCTCCTTCCTAACTCTCTCACCTTATAGCTTAGTTCTTCTCGTAGTACATTTCAGTGCTTGCAGCCGTTCCACCCACACAGCCTCCATCCTGACAACGTTTCTTTGCTCTCTACCTGGTACTACTCCAGCGCACCGGCTGAACTATATGCAATGGGTTCCGGTGCGAGCACACCCAGGAACGATGAGTCCGCAATGATTACCCGGGTCGCCCCTGCTAGTCAGGCTGTGTCCGAAGCAAACACAGTGAGTGCGGCGGTCTAATCAGCTGATGCTATGCATAATGGACTGTTTTGGTATGAAGTCGTTGCGCCTCGAACACGTCTTAAGAGTTTTTAGGGGGCCAGCCCGTTTTGGGTGAGGCTTGCAGTTCACAGGTTCTATCGGTCACTTATCGCTTTTGCAGGTGAATTTGGCCACCTTTACCGAGGGTTTCCCTGAGGCCAAGAGCTCTAAGTCTCTCTTCAAGATTGGTTCTCTATCGGATAGGGCAACTTGCGAGCAAGTCCTGCAGGCGCTTATGGACGGAAACGAGCGTTTCCTGAAGGGCGCCAGCGCCCGTCCACATCAGGATTTCACCCGCGTCCAACAAATATCAGAAAAACAGAAGCCGCACTCCGCGATTCTCGGCTGTGCAGATTCGCGGGTACCAGCGGAGATTGTGTTCGACCAAGGGTTTGGTGACGTCTTTGTCTGCCGTGTTGCTGGAAACATCGCCACGGCAGAAGAAATTGCAAGTCTTGAATATGCTGTTTTGGATTTGGGCGTTAAAGTTGTAATGATCCTCGGACACACAAAGTGTGGAGCGGTCAAAGCGGCGCTCTCGGGTAAGCAGGACTGTTGCAGGCCACGACAAATTATGTGTAGCGTTCGGTATCCAGTGTGACGCGCGCCCATGCACGTGCTACCCCTTCCCCACCTCAGCCTCTTCCATACCGCCTTTTGACCGGAGCGTTTCTATGCGCCTGGAATGTCTTGCACGGAATAAACCGTCCTGTGTTATATAACCCATTTCTTCGTATTCCACTATTTTGTTGGGTCCCTTCAACATTCCCCGGAAAAATAGCTTTACGGAAAAGCCCTCGCCCTGCCAGGCTGTACTTATCGCAGCCCATGTTTGTGCTCTCTCCTAACCCACCTGCTCGAACTGCCATGCAGGCAAGGCCTTCCCGGGTTTCATTGATACCCTGGTGGACCATATTGAAGTGGCTATCGCGCGTGTGGACGGCGGGTCAGGCAAAGCGATACAGAAGGGGAATGGAACCGCGGAAGTGGTGGATAAGGTGGTAAGGGAAAACGTAAAGTACCAGGTCCAACGATGCCAACGGTCCACCATAATCCAGGAGGGCATCCAGAAAAGGACGTTGATGCTGGTGGGGGCAGTGTACAATCTGGAAACTGGAAAGGTTTCTGTGATTGTGACAAAGGGTGGCAACAACCTGGACGATGGTATGAGGTGAAGGATGCATAGATGGACGAATAACACAGGTCGGCAGAGCACAATGAGGGTGCGAGCCAGCGGTGCGATGTAGGTCGATGCCCTCCCCTACACACCAGAGGAGGGTGCGTCAAAAAGCGGTGACAGCCATCGTATTCAGGTCCGTGGCGGTTGGGTTGCCAGCAGGACATCTCCAGCAAGCTGCTTGCTGCCTTACACTACCGGCGAAAGAGAAGAGAAAGACTGCCGCCCGCATGCCCTATTGGGCGTCGGCGACTCTGCCACGCGCTGCAACCAATAAGTTTCCGGCGGGAGGAGGGTGCGGGGCGGTACGGGGCGGGGAAACCTGCGCACCGTCGCCGCTGCCAAGCAGATCCCATGGAAAGGAGGCGCTAACTATTTGCGGCATCTTTTTAAGGTTAAGGTGGATATGAAGCTAAGTTCGTCTGCAGATGTCCTGTACAGCCAAGGGTCCTGAAATTGGGCGCGGTGTGTGCATCGAAACAATATATATTTTCCGCAGGAACTCAATAACATTTGTGGTTTTGGCACACGGGACTTGCGCAACAGCCGAAACAGTGGGGCTCGTGTGTGAGCTCTCCGCAATTGTTGCTGCTGCTCATTTGACTTTTATTGCCGATAAAATCGTTGACGAAAGGGCGCCGATTGCGAGGGGGCATGGGACGCGCATAATTTCGTTCTGACTATACTACAGCGGGTATGTCCAATAACCCGTCCCTACAACGATAACGCGTAATGCACGCTGGCGCATTGAGTGGGTGTGAGTCCTGCGTCCCTGCCTTTTCGGCGTTCAGGCCAGAATCCTGTTAATGCTGGGAGGAAGAAGGGGAAAACACATAAACGCATCACGAATGCGACCACCGCTGTTTCGAGTCGCGTATGTGGCAAGAGCAGCAGCACGCATGCTCCCGCGGTCGATACTGCGCTAGTTTCCGCAAGGACAGTTCCTATAAGGGTTCAGGTTTAGAGGTCTTGTTAATTTCCCCACGTTCCTGTGTGATGCATATACACATAGATGGGGAGCATGGGCAGCGTAATATCGTGTTGTTGTAGGCTGAGCTGATGTACCAGGAGTTTATCCAAAAGACGGCGAATCGTACATGATGTGTTGTCCGTTGCAAGCTGTGACATTTTGTATTGTGAATAACTGTGCAGGCGGCGTATTTCGTATAAACGGACGGGTGTAAATGGACTGGTCGGTTGCCGAACCGACGATTGCTTTGCTACTGTGGCCGCGGCCGCTTCGCGACAACTTGAACGGGTCCCTGTAGGGTTCGCGGAGGGCGCTTCGCGTTGTTTTGCATTGTATGATGTAGTCTTATGTCTTATGTGGTGTCGTGTATTGATCAGCTCGCTCACAGTGCTCTTATGTTGGACTGTACGCGGATGACGAAGATGAGCATGATACGAACAGGCCGACTCTTCGTGTGGTGGTGAGCTTAGAAGTGGTGGTGGTGATCTGGTGTTGCAAAGCCCCTGCGGCGTGACGGCGTTTGTGGTGGGAAGAACATGCGGAGGCCGCACGCGCGAACGAAGCTCGTATAGGCCGCCAGCGCGGGTTTGTTTTATAAAATGCTAAACCTACGTATGTTTTGACAATAATCGTAGGCTTTCAAACTGTGCGATGTGTTTCGCTAGCTCCATCCTTCGCCTGAGGTATTACAAGTTGGGAATTTTCAGATGTGGGAGGGATTGCCAAAGCGCTCAGGCGCGAAATGATAGTTGCTTTTTCGGCTCAGGTTGGAGGTTGTTGCTAGGTAGGGAGGACGTTATGTATCTGGCGCGCCAAGATGTATCCATTCAGCGAGGCCAGGACTTTTTTCCCACTCGACGGCACTATGCCGCTGATGGCAGTCATCGGTGTGCTGTGCACGAGGTCTATTCATGGCAACCCTCCATTCTGTCTGCCTTGGACGCTGTGGAGGGGGGCGTATAAACGAATGAGGCGTTTTACGGGGTGAAGCAACGATGTTGTTCTGTCCTTTTTACCCGGAGCATTACCGCCAACGTGTGCACGTTGCTGACATTCGATGACCCCGATTTTCTATGTATTGAAACCGTGCCGTGCGGATTATACATATGCGCCAGGTTGCTCGCCGCTGCGTGGCTTTTGCAGAGACGTCGTCTGCAGCGTCCTGGCCGCTGTGCGCCTTTGTACGTACGCCTTTGTACGTACGTGCGCCTTTGTACGTGTATGATTTTCTGGACTATTGCAGCCTCATCTGGGGCTGTTTTGATTTTAAAGTATCACTGTACGGCTGTGACTCGCCGGTTTTGTCGGATTATAGCGGGGTTAGGGCGCTGCTAGGGAGACCGTTTACACAACAAATGACGACACGAGGAGCCACACCGTTCACCATTTAAATACACCTTACGGATCACGACGACGTTGTATGGTCTTCACTGGTGGCCACGGTCATAGCGCGAGCTATCGAAGCAAATCGCGCAACGAGTGGTTTGAGGACCGACATGATTGTTCCAAAGTTCGCAAGGCACGAGCACTTGCACTGCCCACGATGCTATGGGACAGCAGGAGCTCCGGAAGACAAGATAATATAAGCGCTTGCCACTGAACAACTTCGACGACATTCATTGCTGTCGTCTCTATCGTCCTAAAATCTGTCTGCTAGACAGCGTACACAGCAAACGCTGTCCCAGTGAATCCCCCGGTTATCTACCCGACTGTGTCCCCGCACCAACGCAGGCCTCCAGCCCCACCAACTCAAACGCTCACGCTAAAATCAATTTAAAATCAATCAACACTTCATGAAATTTTTGGGGCCACAAACCATAGAAAGTTATGACGGGTGTCGCTCGCCTCGCATCTCGAACACTTAAAACCCCTTCAGTGCAAAACTATCCCAATTGGTGCGTGCACCCGACCCCTTTCGGAAGTACAGAAGTACAGTCAGTGCTTATCAGGACATTTCCTAATGGCACATATTGTTTCCCTCACCGACCAGCGTTAGTTGACCCCGTCGCCGATATGCCTGAGGTCGCCGGCGAGGTAACCACAGCTGGGCTGTGCATGTGCACGTGGATGTGGCGCGCTCCCACGGCCACGCTACTGCTGTTGACCTGACGCAGCGATGGCTGCTGCTGCTGTAGCGGCTGCGCTTGCTGTTGCTGCTGCTGCTGGATTTGTAGCTGCTGTTGTTGCAATTGAGCCATGGTGACGGGGTTCGCAGTAGAATTTGCGGGGCTGTTACCGCTGCCTCCGCCAAGCCCAACCGTGGCCCCTCCAGAAAGGGAGACGCGGCCGATAGCCCCGCCAGGTAACTGCAGCAGCCGAAAGTGCGTTGCGACGGCAAGAAGGCGAGAGAACAATCAGCTTTAAGCATAATGTTTTCATACGTCGTCACGACAGCGGTTCCACATGGGGCGCCGCGTGACGGCGCCCGTTGCTATCCATGTGACAATACGCCCGTACCACCACGTCGACAGTAACGGCGTGCACCAGATGGGCAGCACACGCCGCCTTCACACAGTGGTAACCTTAATCTTTTCCTACACATCCTACACATAAAATATAATACTCTTCCTCTTACCTACACAGCCTAATAATCCGGGTTGCCAACCTTTGCTCTCGCTATTTCACGTCCGTTGCACCACCCCGGAAAACAGCTTTCTGAGTTTTGACCTCGGAACAAAGCTCTCTGTGTTCGATAGCCGTCCACCCACCTGCAGCTTGCGGCGCAACGCCTCGATGGTCCTCGCCTTCTCCGCCGCGTCCTCTTCATGCCGCTTGCAGCGCTCCAGAAGCGCCGCGATCTGCGCGTCCTTGCCCAGTCGCATGGCTTCCCATGCCTGAAGCATCGAGTTGAGTTCCCTGTGCATTCGTCGGTGTATGGCATCGGCAAGGTGTGGGACGTTTGGTGCTGAGGTGGGGCCAACAGAAGTCATGGGTGATGTGAGCAAACAGACGCTCAGATCCCCAACCATGCTCCCTCCGCTTTTTCCCATTTCCCAGGAAACTCCAGGCAATCATGCAGCCCTCCGGTCCGCTCCGCTTCCCTTTCATGCCTACCTGACTTCGTTATTGCGCATCTCCAATTGCTCTCGGTATGCCGCCGCCTGCTGCGACGCGGAGCGCAGCTCCGCACGAGCTGTGTCCAGCGCCGCTGCCGCGTCCTGGCGCGCCAGCGCGGCCGCCTGGCTGTTGCGCTGCAACGCCTCCGAATGCGCGTCCAGCGAACGAACGCGCTCCTGTTTCACAGGCGGCACGAGTGCAGGTGAGGGAGAGATTCTCTCTATCTTAAACGAACATACCGCTATTGTTATGTTTCTGGTTTTCCCGTAGAAGAGCTCTGTATGTATGTGTGTGTGTTACATGGTCATGGGTTGCGTTCCCCGTACCCGCAAAACGCCTAATACGAGCCGAGGATGCAAGGGCTGCCAGATCGCCTATAAGTACCATCCTACCTCGCACTTCAGACAAAGCAAGTGATAAGGATACTCAAGTGACGCAGTCCTACACACGAGCCGGTGTCCTACTCAGACAGACGGACAAACTTGCAGACAGACGTCCCCGCACCTGCAGCGCAGCCATCGCGCTGCGCCCCGCCTGCCATTGCTCCTCCAGCTGCGCGCACTTCTTCATGAGCAGCGCGCACTCCTCCTGCTTGGCAGCCAGGGCGGCCTCCAGCTCGTCACCGCGCCGCAGCAGGGCCTCCTGGTCTGATGACAGCCGGCTGCTGTCGCGCTCCTAAGGTGCATCAGGGGGGCGGGTAGGCGGCATGGGCGGGTAGGCGGCATGGGTGCGTGTGAGTGGGCGCGGGCGATGCCGGCTTTAATAATAATGAACCAAGAAAACGCTTAGATCTTTCCGAAATTCGGGCCTTTATAACGAACGTGCATACACATAGACACGCGCAGATCGCGGTCGCATACGCACACGAACCTGCTGCAGCAGGCGCTGCTTGAGGCGCTGGTAGTCCGCGATCTGCGCCGAGATCTCCGTCTCCACCGCCTCACAGTCCGCCTCCTTGCGGCGCAGGGCGGTCTGCAGGCGAGACACCTCGTCCAGCCGGGCAGTCAAGCTGTCCTGCGCGGACCTGCCAGCGCGGAAAGCAATGAGAGTTAATTATATAATAATGCAAGAAGGGCACCAGTAAGAAGGGCAGAAAGGGGGCCGCCAGTAAGAGCAGAGCAATGATGGGAGAGAAGGAGAGAGACAGAACCGTGATGGAAGCCGACGCCCCTCGCAAAGCAACTGCCGTCGGGATGTGTACAAGCACACGTACACACACGCATGCTGGGAACCTCTCCTCCTTCACGTTAATCCACCAAGGTGAATTCACTTTTTGAAGCTGACGCAACACGCGTCAGCTTTACTCCAGCCCGCGCTGATGTGCTGTGCGTTGTCGTCCGTCCAGTCGCCGCCTTCTGCCTCGTCGAAGCACTAATAATCCCTGGCATCAATCTCCACCAAGGCCTCGTCATCCCGTCATTAAGCTTCCCTCCCTGGAGAGTCCCTCGACCCACTTTAGACGAGCCTCCAGCCGCTTCACGTCCTCCTCCCGCGCCGCCAGCCGGCTTTGCAGTCCCGCCACCTCCGCCTCCGCAGCCACCAGCGCAGCACCGCGGCGTTGCAGCTCCTCCACCAACACAGCTGTCAACTCCTGGGGGCCACACGTGCGTGAGTACCTGGCTGAACGTGTTTGTTTGGGTATTGCTAACAAAAAACGAAAGATGTTTGCATCAGGTTTGAATCGAGGACCTTGGGATTTTAGCTTTTACTTCGTGCTAACTACTCAGCCAAGTGTGTCTATATACACATAGGGCACAGATGTTGGCGAAAAACGGTCAAGCTGTAAAAGTGAACGGAAGAGGAAAGGCATGAAGCCAAATGACGGCGGAGAGGAAAACACGTAATGACGTGTGTGCTGCCCGCCCCGGCATGCCACGCCACGCCACGCCACGTAATACGTAACGGCCAACAATTCGATGTGTGAGCCTTAAGCTTTCCATTTTGGCAAGCAAGCAAAGCATAGCAAACCATTCTTTTCAAAAGAATGGTCTTTTGCATTTACTCCCCACACCTAAGAACTGCGGCTCCTTTCTTAATCTCATACCGCACCTCTAGCAGCCTCAGGGAGGTCGTCAAGTTACCGGGCACCGGCCCGCTGCCACTCTGGCTGCTCAGGCTGGCTACGCTGAACACGCTGCCCAGGCCGCCACCGCCGCCGTCGGCGCTGCTGCGGTCGCCCTCGCTCCCTGCACCACCACTACCGCCACCACCGGCACCGGCGACAGCGGCCGACGCCTTGGCGACGGCCGTCGCCATAGCGGTGCGGACCGCCATCAGCAAGCGACCCACCACCGCGTCGGAGCGGTTGAGCTGCTCTTGCAGGTGGTAGACCTGGGGATTGAATACAGTCCCAGAGGACAGTTGGGTCGGGTTGGTTGGGTGCATGGTAGTGCGGTGAAGCAGGAATGTGCCCGCGGACAGAGATTGGATAGTGGCCAGTCACCGCAACGGCACAGTGTATCTTTTCATCCTCCCCGGCACGCACCGGACGGCGCTGGATAAATGAAGATTCATGTACTAAATGCACGTCCACATACACTTTCCCCACACTCGCTAGCCACCGCAGCGCCACTCCCTCCATTACTACTCCCCAATTACCGCCACCTCCTGCGCCAATCCCAGGGGTCCGGCACACCTGGTCCGTCATTTGCTGCGCCCCGGAGCGAGCCGACGAGCTGCGTTGCTGCAGCTCCTGCACCTCAGCCTGTGGCCCCCACAGCAGCAGCAGCAGCAGCAGTGGCAGCGGCAGCATACCACGATGTGAGTTCGTGAGTGTTAATGCACCGACGACGATCACCTTTGGGGATCCGCTGAAACAATCGCATCGCATTCAGCATGTGGGGCTGGGAACGGAGCCGCAGACAAAAACGAGCCGCTTCAGAAACGGCTGGAATAGCCACACACGCCGTTTGGGGGCCACGGGGACTGCACTGGTGCATGTGTCTTAATGGCTCTTTTCCTTTCCTACAGCTTCCGGGGGGGGCATCTGGGAAGGCCAGATCGGTGGATGGGTCCGGCCCGAGGGCCAGGAAGAGCGGCGCGTCAAGGGCTACAAGCGCGCAAAGGGCGACGACTGGCGGGAGTTGCAGCCAAAGCAGCCTATCCTATCCAACCTTCCTACTGCCGGAGAGGGGCAGGAACGGAGTAGGGTGGTGTGGGGGAGTTGCACCACCCCATGACGTAGGGGCACCAGAGCTCGTAGCCGGGAGCCAGGAGACAGGAGCCAGGGAGCCGCACCTGCAAGGCCGCCACTTGCCGCATAGCTGCTGATAAGTCCGCCACCGCCTTGGCTGTCGCCTCCCGCTGGGAGCCGCTCTCAGCCTGCAGTTTTTACAGTTGCAAATAGTGGTGGCGGTGGTGGTGTGGTGGTGGTGGTGGTAGCGGTGTTGTGTGTTGTGTGGTGATGTCAGAACGGCGCCAGGAAAAGGCGTATGGTTCTGTGCCAAGTGCGGCCAAGTGCACCTACCATTGCAAGAGCCTTGTAATGGTTTCGGGCGGCGATGCCTACCCGCATTCGGGCGCCAATCCGATGAACGCAGCCACAGCAACAGCCCAAACCCCTTTCAACAAATAGGCACCAAACTGCCATCGGCTACGGCTCCGCAAATTGGTAAAGGACACAGCAGCAGGAACAGACACAACCTATTACCTCGTTTGCCCGAGGGCTGCGGCTGCCTCCACCCACCTGCAACATGAGCAGGGAGCGCTCCGCTGCTTGCAGCTGGGCCCGCACTTCCCGCAGCTCCTCCTCCCGGCCTTGAAGCTCGTCCTCCACAGCCGCCAGCTGCAAGTATATATCATAGTATACATGCGTGCGTGCGTGCGATTGAGCGTGCGTATTCGCGGGGCCGGAGGTGTGTGTGGGTGGGTGGGTGGGTGGATGTGGATAGGAAGGATGCATGGGGAAACATCGCTAACGGTAAAATACTGCTGTATACGCTCTGTCTAGTTGTGGGTACGTGTTTCAGCTGTGCGCGTGTTCGGCCAAGTAGTCTCTTCTCCCGAGCCGCGGCTTGGTGTTCCGTCTCCTGGCCGCCCGCTTCATCGCACTCATTCTACAGAACCAGCAGAGCCCCCCCTGGTCAACGTCTCCTCCATTACCACTTCCCTCAACCGCACCTACCTACCGGTTCACGGCCAACCTACGCGTCCCGTTATCCGTCCACCCACCAAGCTCTGTTCACCCTACCAACCCAGCTGCTCCACCCACACCCATCCCCGCTTACCCTCTGACCCTTGGCCTCCAATTTGTCCTCCGCTGCCTGCAGCTGGGCTCCAAGGCTGTCACGAGTGAGCTCCAGTTGGTGCTGGCAGGAGGTCAGAGCTTGCTCTCGCTCCAAAACCTGGAGGCATACACACACACAGCGCCCACTTCGGCCTTTTCCTGTATAGCCAGGCTTAGATTCCAAAAAGGACAGTGCACGTGTTGGGAAGGCGATCCAGAGGAGGAGGACGTGCAGTGGGGAGCAGAGTCGGAGACGTGGACGTGTTAAGAATGGAAAATCGCGCAGACCGAGAATGTGCGTCATAAACACCCCAGCAGGGCATCTAAAGGCATGCCCCAGTAAGTAGGTATGTAGGTATGTATGTGCGGAAGGCGAGGGCGAGAGCGCGGCTGGGGGCTGGTACTGTTGCTGTGGCCTAAACCCGAAGGGGAGGGAAAGTACATCAGGAGTCGGTTCATGGGCCATTCTTCGTGGTGGAAGCAACTTGAGCCGCAATAAGGTTTTAGAGCAAACCTACCCTACCTTGGCTGTGAGCGCCGATGCGTCCGCTCGGGCTCGTTCCAGTTGCGTGCTGAAGGTGGTGAGGTCGGCCTGGGGTCAAGGAGGTATGGAATGCCATGCGTCATAGGAGGTGCGAGTAATTTAAGCAACAACACGTACATAGATGCACATGTACATGTACATGTACATGTACACGTACACGTACACCTTCTACACGTGCATTCTTAATGACGTCACATACGCAGACACACGCGTTACCTACCTGCAGTTCCTGCACTCGCGCGTCCTTGGCCCTGCAGGCGTCCCTCCACATCGCCACCACTCGATCAAGCTTGGTGGCCTGCTGCTGGTGCTGTTGCGCCAACAGGAGCTGGTGCTGGGAGGAGTAGGAGGCGCTGACAAGTGACAAGGCCACCCCGCCGCCGCCGGCGGAGGAGCCCGCGCCCCCGCCCGGGTAGGGGTGGTGCCCGGCAGCCGACACGCCACGACTGGGACTCATGGCGCTCCGAGTGGAGTGATACGGCCGTGTCGCCTGGGAGCGGGTTTGAGGACGAGTGGGAATGAGGGTAAGAGTTGGAGAAAATTGGTCTGAGCGGCTGGTGCTGGTGAGGGAGCGCGAGTGGGCGAAAGGAAAACGCCGTGGGTGGGTGAGGGAAAGCCGCTCACGAAGGAAAGACCTCACGTGACGATGAAAAGCTGCGGCGCAAAGGTGAATTCCCGGGGAAACAAGCCCCAGGCGCCCTATCCCCAAGCCGGAAGTAATATTCTATCGCAAACAGCGCGGGACACGTTGGCCGAGGCGTTGTTTTGTATTGGGATAGGATAAAAGGAGTTCCTGCGCTTGTGGGGGATTGAAAAGAAGTCCTGCCTGCTGTCACCCGAAAGGAAACGACACGAAACAACATAAGGGTATCTGATCTGGTCATAATCCGAGAGATAAAGGTAAAGACGATAAAAAAAGCTGGCGCTGGACGGCCAACACCACCGTTGTGGTTGAGTGGTAGTATTTGGTAGTGGTAGTAGTTTACCTGCGATCGGGGACTTGGCGATGCAGAGCGCTGTCCGTCCTCTGGGCCGTCGCCACCCGCCGTGCCCCGCTCCCACATCACCTGCGACGCGGACGAGGGACTGGGAGGCCCCAGCAGCCCCACGATATGCTTCTGTTGCTGTTGCTGCTGTTGCTGCGGAACGGACCTCAGTTGCTGCAGCAGTAGCTGCCGGGTCTCCAGTTGCTGCTGCGACACCACTAACTGCTGCCGCAGAGTCTCCGCAGTAGCGGCCAAGTCGCGTTCCTGTACACAGGAAGACGGATCGGCGTGGAGGAAGCCAAGACATGTTCCAGTGTTAAGGAAACGATGCTGTCAATAAAACGACACGGCGTCCCAGAGGTTCATGATGGACATCGTTCAGGAAAAGGTGAGGATCAGGGGCCAGGCGGGGCCACATTGGCTTCATCTCCCCGTGGACATCACTACGTGAAAAATCGCGCAAAAAGCTATAGCTAAAATATAATACTAGGCACCTGTCGGGCAGGGTCGACTCAGGAAAGAAAGCGCCCTAGTACCGGTGCCTACCCTTATCTCCGCCTCTGCGAGCCGCTGGTCCAGCGTCGCCGCCTCCTTGGCGAGCTCCGTCCGTTTGGTGTTGGCCGCCTGAGCGGTGACAGAACCGGAATCATGGAGCCATACAAGACCAAAACGCGGCAGAGAGGGACGCCGGGAGTGGAGACATGGAAAACTCTCGATCGCGCATTCACTTTTTTATTCTATTTGCTCTGCCATCAGCCCAAATCCTCAGCAACATCTACGTCGACAATGTCGACATCCTCTTACATAGCGGGGTGATACGTTTCAGCAAGAGGTTTTGCAACAGGGGCAGCTATGCTGTCCTTGTGGCTACGCTGCCAAGCAGCGACAACACACGCTGCACTATCTACGCTGCGCTACTGCACTACTTATGCGCTCATTTCTTGGCCACCATTAAAAAATGTCCACACACGCTTCCTTTATCACCTGCAGCTCCGATGTCAAGGACTCGATTTCGGAGCGCTGCGCTCGGATTTTCTGCATCAACGCCTGCAACGTGTTTCGGATCTCTGCGTCTTCTGCGTTGCTGCCACCGCTGGGACTTCGCTGGTGCTGGTGGTTGTGGTGCTGCTGAAGCCGCTCCAGCATGCTGGGTGAGGCGTGCTCCACGGCCCGGGAACTCGCCTGGCTGTGAGAGGCTCGCCGCTCGCCGTCCTGCTGCAGGCGGTGCGTGAGCGCCTCGCAGCGGGCCTGTGCCTCGGCAGCGGCTGCGGCGCTGGCGGCAGCTTCCTCCTGGGAGGCGGCCAAAGCCGCCTGGAAAGAAGACAAAAAACGTGTTAAGTTCAAGCTGCATGCTGTAAATGGTTGTGAACTGGTTGACGTCCGCAGTCTTGCCGGTGATTCACGGTTTTCTTCGGATGGCGGAGTACGCAACGAAGCGCTATTCAGCACCCACGATTTTGTCAGTTATCGGGGACACACACCTTGTAAGCCTGAAGCTCCGATCGCAGAGTTGCAGTAACTCCGTCGCTGTTGTTTGCTGTAGCGGATGACATGGTGGCAGCGTCTGCATGGAAATGGAAATTTGGGTTGTTATCGATACTAAACATGATTCTTCACGACCACTCAGATCGGGAACATATGATGTCAGGAACATTTGTGCGAATGGAAAATGCCCACAATGACAAAAGGATGCGAAAGCAGAAAGGAAGGATGGGATTCGGAGCACAACACCGTGCAACATCCTTCTCAGCTGTGGCGTGTCGTTTCCTCAAGGAGCGCCGCGACGGTCTCGCACCATACCTGCCTCACTCCCGCCCGCCGCCGCAACTTGCGCGCGCAATCGCTCAACCTGAAGGACAGAAAAAAAGACAGATTTTCGGTAGGTAGGTACGTATGGCGGGATTCAGATGGTTACCTGGACAGCTCACAGCTCGAAGTTACAGGAGTGCAAGGAACCCACCTCTAAATCTTTGCTCCGCAGCTCCTGTTCCCATTGCGCCAACTTTGCTCTGGCTTGTTTGAGTTTAGAATGCGTTGCCGTGAGCTTCTCGAGGAGGTCTCTATTTTCCGTCAGCATGCCTACCAGCTGCTGCTGTGGCGCGTGCGAGGAGGTGGAGATGCTCAGCCCGCTGACGCTGGCCCCGTCGGTTTGCAGCGTACCGCGGCGGCCCGCGTCCGCCGCCTCTTGCTCCGCGCTGCACACAAGGGACACAGTCAAAAGCTTCCCCAGCCAGACCTTTCGCTATATTTCTCAAAGGCAGAATTCCAGGTACAGGGTCTTTTCTGTGCTAGTTGAGAGTCCAGCCTAAGCGGCATGACTGCAGTAGCTCAAACAAACGGACAGCGCTTCGCGAGCAATCCCAGTCCCAACCCGCCTGGACCGAGTCCAACGGAGAAGGGCAAGGAAAAGGAAAGAGTGTGACCTAATCGGGGATGGAGCCGACGCAAGGATAGGCAAGAGAAGCCACATTCTGGCACCCCTATCCTACCTGGCAATTCTGCGCTGAAGGGTCTCGTTTTCCTGCGTAGAGAAGCAGCGGGCGCGAGGATTGCAGAGCCAGTTCATAAGGCTCAGCACTGGCTGGGAGTCTTGTCGCCTGCGTCAATCATGTTGCCTCGGAACCCCAAGGATGCATCGGTGTGCATCGGAGTGTCCAAGGGTTTGGACGAACGTGAACGATGCTTCTTTTAGCTAAGCACAGACATCCGGCGAGACATCCGGCGCAGCCTTCATCCTCGGGTGGACGACTTCACCCACGACGACTTCACTCACGACGACTTCACTCACCAATGCGGTCATTTTCCTCCCTAGCAGAACACGCGCCCCCGTTTCACGGGAGGCCCCTACCCCGTCTGTCCAGCAGTCAAGACTTCACGTTTCTTTTGGCGGCTAATCGGGGTCGGCCCGGGGTCGACCGACTCCTCCTCGGCGATCTTTACATCATCCTCTCACCTGCAGCGCCGCGCGCAGCTCCTGCCGGACCTCCTTAAGCTGCCCTTCAAACGCCTCCGTGTGGCCCCGCAGCGACGACAGTTGCTTGCCCACGCCCTCCAGCCGCGCATCACGGTCCGCTACCTGCCGCTCGCACACCGCCAGCCGGCCCTGCAGTCCCTGCACCTGCAGCTGCAGCGCCGTCACCTCCTGCAGGTGCGCCTGCATGCATGGGAAGAAAGGCACCAGTCAGACCGCTATACTTACAACAGGCATCGCCACCAGCTCACCATCACTCTAGCGAAGAGCTCACGAAAGTCACACGGGAGGGAAAGGGGGCGATTGTGACAGTGACAGCGACAGGGCACAGGTGCGAGGCCTGGGATGGCGCGTGAAGGGGAAACGTATCTCTGGTCTGGTCAGGACAAGAATGAGCAGCAAGGACAAGAAGTGGACCTGCGATAGGAATGTCAACGTGTCTGTAGCTTTCAATTCATGTGGGCACGTGTCCTAATCAGGAGCCCCATACCGTACCTCGCGCTCCGCGGCCAAGGCGGCCGCGGTGCGTGTCTCTGCGTCGGCCGCCGCCGCCGCCCTCGTCTCCGCCTCCGCCAGCGCCGCTTCCAGGTCCTGTGCGCGAGTCTCCAGCCCAGCGGACCGCACATGCGCGGCGGCAGCCTCCACCACGGCATCCTCCGCCTCAGCGGCCTGCAAACCACCGCCAACAATCACATTTGCAGCCAAGCACAGTGATCGCGGTGCTCAGGAGCGCGCTCCTTGCATCCATTACACACCAACGCGTATCGCGTACAACGACCGGGGGAGCGTCGCCTAGAGTAGGAACTCTACGAGCAAACGCGGCCCAACAATATGCTATGAAACATGAATGGTGCATTACCTTTTAGCATTAGCGGTATCGTAAAATGTGATAAATGCTAATAGTAAAATTTTCCGTCTTCTGTATTTCGCGGTGTTTCAATGTTTTGTCAACCTTTCTACCTTCTCCCTCTTTTAAGTCCATGGTCCCTAGAAAGTTTTGCCAGGTGGAAATACAACACGCTTCTGCGCGCGAGTCCGGCGCGATCCAGCTGGATTGGGTGTATATGCGTATGCAGTATCTTGCCTGCTGCCTGGCTGCCGAGAGCGCCTGCTCCAGATCCGCCACCCGCTGGACCCACAGCAGGTCAGCCCCACGGCCCTGGCTGGAGGCCGCTGCCAGCTGTCGCCGCAGGGACTCCACCTCGGACCGCTCCTCCGCCAGCCGGGCCTCAGCGGTACGCAGCTGCGCGAGGAGAAGACAAAGATGAGGAGAAGGACCAGGTTGGGGGTACAAATCGGGAGCTGTTTTGCACTCACTGAAGCAGTAGTACTCAGGTAGGCGATACATGCGGCTCCGAAAAGGGTGCAAACGCAGGACCGATGTTACGATAAGGGAGTGGGGGTATACCATTTGGTCATGGCCCCATCTTCTAAGACACGTGTGGCGCCGAGAACGGCCCTAGACCTACCAGCGCTGCTGTCTTGTCGCGCGCCTCCTGTGCCTCGAGCAACTCTCCCTGCAGAGCGCGGGTAGGAGGGTAGGCGCATCGCGTAAGGACAGGAGCGAAAAGAAAGAGGGCTTCAGTGCTACTTAAAGTTAGTACTATTCAAGGAAAAAGGAGCAAGGGGATAAGAGTCGGCAGACGCACGACGATAGGCATGGCACTAAGGCAGGGGAGTAGTACGGTGTTATAAAGAAAGGCAAAGCCCAGAAAGTTTACTTAGGAGACACCCAAACGCCTGGGAGCGCGGGCTGGCACCAACGCCCGGCAGCGGAACCTCCAGGCCTCACCTGAACTTCGGATAGTCGCTCGGCAAGCTTGCCGGACTCGGTCTGCACGCAGGCGAAACCATGGAAAGGGGACACTACGTGTTTGATATGTACAGCCGGGTCAGCGGGTAAGGAAACAAGCAGTTTAGGCATATGGAAACGTCAAGTAACTTTCAACCTTATCCAGGGGCAAGAGGTCGCGCAGTAATCGCTGGCACATACCCGCAAGCGTGCGCTCGCGTCTGCCGCGAGCTGAGCGTCCAAAGCCGCAGATTGTCGCTGCTGTTGGAGCTCTTGCGCATCACTTTGTAGGGCTTCCAAACGTGACCTTAGTTCAGACAGCTCCTGGTGACCAAAATTACAAAGAACGCAAAGGCGAAATTGCTTTAGGAATGGCGTTTTAGGGCGTTGCGCACGAGCCTGTCGGGCTCCACTGTAACAACCAATTTATAGAAGAGGCAAACTTGCAGATGAAATCCGCAGAGGTATCTAAGCACGCCGGAAAGCTGCTGACCTACAGCTCGCCCCGTTAGAAGAGAACACGAATGAGAAAGGCATACTCACACAGCCCTCCATGCAACTTACCCGTTCTGCGGCTTCTGCCCGGGCAACCGCAGCTTGGGCATCGACCTGGAAAAAGCACCCATCGGCAATCCACGTTATTATTTTATTTTACTACATGGGCTATATGGAGGAGATGCAGATGGAAGTTCAAATTCGCTTCACATCACCTGCAACGCATCAACCAAAAGCGCCTTTTCGCGCAGCTTGAATTCCATAACCGTAACGGCGGCCTGCGCAGCATACAGACGGCGGCAGAGGATCCCATAAACCGCAGGATAGCAGAAAGCTGTACGTGCCTGCCGACTCCAAATGCTGCTGCAGGCGTAAGGAAAACGCAGCGGCAGCGGGCCCAGTGCACGTACCTGGTCCGACCCGTGGGTCGCAACAACCTGCTGGGCCTCCGCCTGCTGCGCCAGGCGCTGCGCCGACGCTGTCGCCAATTGGGCCTGCGGATTTACCCACCACCGTCATTAATACCAATCGTGCGCAGACGTGAGCAGGAGCCCAAGTCGCAATCTATGAGCTCGTGCTCGTGTGCATGCGCTGGCCTGAACGGCCACGTACGGCTTTCAGTCAAACTCAGGACAGGAGAGGAAATCGAAAAGAATGACAGACGCCAGGATTATGGCTTCGTGCCTCCGTCTCAGACTTGCAGAAAAGCATAAATCACGTTCCAGGGATAAACATGTGCCAGCGGGCTCGGGGTCAAAGCCAAGATCATTCCGGGCATGGAGCGGGCTTCCACCTGCAGCACGCCGACCTCCAGCTCCTTGTCTTCGCAGCGGTGACGCAGCTCCTCGGCCCGCCTGTCCGCCTCCGCAAGTGCCACCTGGAGCTCATCGCACCGCTCCGTCGTGCGCGCCAGGGCCGCCTGGGCTGCCTGCAGGTGGGTCAATTGCTCATCCATTTTTGGTCAATTGGTTCCCGTGTGTAACAAGTTCAATAGTTCTATCACATGGCCAGGCAATCTCGCATGTCAGGTACACCATTTTGTGACCCGGAGGTCCTGGGGTACGACATAACTCACGAAATCGATACACGGCCGGACCTAATGGCCCCTCATGCGTGGTTGCCGCTCCCAGCACATGCGGGCGGCAATCGCCCATGTCGGCAGCGGCCGCCTATGTGCGGCCTGAGTGGCTTTTGGCCCTTTTTGCTTTCCATGCCGTTTCCTAGCGCCGTCGCACCTCCTCACGGTCTCGTTGCTCGTCCAGCTGCAATTCCAGCTCCAGAACCTTCTCCTTGAGCGTGCTCACGCCATGCGTGGATCCCGACATGGACGCCTGCGCCGTTTGGTGTGGGCGGCGGTAGTGGGGACGGTCAGCTTGCGATCCGATATGGCATGTATACGCAATCTGCCGCGGTGAGCCGCGTATGAGGCGTGAAAAAAATGCATGAGGGTGAAAACGGATCGGGCAAGAAAGTCGTCGCCTTGGCACTAATGCTCAAGGTAGTCCCGTAGACCCGCGTACCTCCAGACGGCCCTGCAGCTCCACCACCTTAGCCTCAGCGGCACGCAGTCGCGAGTTCGCCGCGTCCAAGTCCGTCTGTAGCAGCTGCGCGTCCTGCTCCGCCTGACCCGCCCGCGTCTCAGAGCTCATTAGGTCAGCCTGTGGATGAAGCAGCGGACAGGGCACCAGGTGCGACGGATGGAGCGCTGAATACATCGGTTGGAAAATGTGTGTTAGGATGAGCGTTGGCTCATTGCGTCCGCAATTGGTTTCCCGGGTTCCATGGGTACTTGGCGAGACGACGCGTATGAAGCGGACGGTGCGCCGTAAGGGAGAGCACTGGGAGAGACATCAGCACCAAAGGACAAATGTCGGGCGTGAGACTGTCGAGCCCTCCTTCCTTCGGGCTTCATTCGCCGTGATACCCCGCCATGACGCCAACCTTCCCCACCAACATTGTGCGTGGTTTGTTGCACCGGCCATATGGCTGAGAATCCTCGCACTATTTGTTTACTGTATGTTCGGCAGTGCGCATCCCTCACACACACGAAAGGACTGCCTACACGGGGCCTGGGAGGGACAGTGAGTCCCAAAATCGGTATTCCGTGGCACACCTGGAGGGCATCAAGTTTGGCTTGCAGGTCCGAGACGGCCGCTTCCAGAAGTCGCGTCTCCAGGGATCCCTCGCGCCGCGCGCCAAGCGAGGCGGCATCGGAACGAGCTGTTCGGGAGACGGGAGATGCACCTGGAGGCGGTCCGTGAACAAATAAAAGTCCCGTTACCATGGATCTGGAAATGCCGTAACTGGCAGTATCAGAGCGTCAGGACAGGGCTCTTCCACATTGCAGTTCGACCTTTTATTTGTCGAGGGAAATCGTCATGTCCCTTGTGCGCACAAATGCAGGCGAATAGGATTTGGATATTCTCAGCTGGCAGGCGCTGCAGCGTCTGTGGCTGCGGACGCCTGGTGACTGGTGTACGGATGAACTGGGACTTCACTTAAGTCAAAAATTATGTGGCATAACCGACAGCCTTAAGGACCTACTTTTGGGGGAGAGCGCGCGTGCCGCGGTGGCGGCGGCCGCCACTGCTGCTTGGCGCTCAGCCGCCAGCTGCTGTAGCTGCTGCTGCAGCTCCCCATATTGCGCATGCAGCCTCTCGTTTTCCGCTTGCACCTGTACAGCACATTGGGAGAGACATGTCTCATAAATTTAAAAGGAAAGGAAACGGAGTTATATGAGACCGAGAAGAGAAACTCCACCGGTGGCTACATGCGTACATACACCACGAATTCGGAGTCTAGAGCATTCCACATTAAGCTGGCAGCCTGGTTGTGCCACGGTCACCCCACGCCCGCCTCCGCGTCCGCAGCCACCGGCACCGTGTCCTCACCTGCCGTACTAGCCCCTGCTGCCGCGACAGCGCCGCCTCCGCCTCTACCAACTGGGACTCACTGTCCAAATGGCGCTCCTCAGCAGCCGCCAGGCTAGCCTGCGTAGCCATCACGGGGGATGTGCAATTACCGCATCCCAATCTTAGCTGCATTCGCACTCACATGACACAGGCCACCATCGACAGGTGTGCATTCACAGCGCGCCTCTCTTGCTGACGACGCCAAGCTGCGTCAAGGCAGCCCCAACAGCCGCTGCGGAGTGAGCGGGCTGCAAGGCCGTGCTTTCGGAGGATACATGGCAGTGGCAACAGCAGCAGCATCAGCACAGCTGCGGCGTCAGCCCTAGTATTGAGCCCAGTCTAAGGACTGCCGCAACTCTCCATCTGTAACGATGGTAGTTGCCACACATTAGGCCATGTGAATTCAACTAGATCGAGGCTACGTTATTACACCATATCCCACATTTCCAGGCATTCACGTTCGCGTTTGGCCTTGTGGAGGTCGCGTGTGGGGTTTCCTCACGTGTCCACCCACCCAATCCCCACACATGCCCACGCACTTGTAGGGCCTCGTTGGCGCGGTGTAGTGTGTCGCACTCGTCCTTCTGCTCCATCAGTTCCTGCTGCAGGCAGCCCATGCGGGTGCGTGCCGCCGCCAGGTCGTCGCTGAGGGCCTGCGTACACACCACACCACACCACACCATCACCACAACACGCACGGCACCGAAACCGTGAAAGATATAATACATTACCGTACGGTACGTCACCGTATCCCACATGATACATCGCATTGGAACGTAGTATGTGCAGACCTATAGCCTCCCGCCTGGGCTGTTGCGACCGAGGTTGATGCAAGGGGCATTGGAGGACAGATCGGGACCCCGTCCTTGGGCTCGCAATCGCCACTTGCCTGGAGTTGCGATGCCAGAGCACGCGCCTGGGAAGCGGCAGCCTCGTTCTGTGATGTCAGCCGCCGAATCTCCTGTGACGGGAGACATACATGTAGAGCAGATAGGCAAGGAACAACGACAACGCCCAAGGCCAGTATTCGGTGTGGTTATCGCAAACGCCGCAACACGGATATGGCACGCACAGTACCCGTTTCCCCCTGCTTCCAGAATGGGCGTACTGAGCCAGATCAGTGCTGGTTGCGGACGCAACCCATGATTGTGTTCTTCAGGTGCATGCACACACCAACCTACCAGGGGCTTCCCGCTGCCCTGCCCTTGCCAAGGACGTCCTCATATCCCCGGACTAAGAAGCCGATAACCGGAATGTCCACTTACCGCCTCGTTGGTCTCCGCGTTGTCCTTCGCTAGGGCCGCTTCCAGACGGAGACTGTCTGCCGCGGCCTGCAGCTGCTGCACCTCCGCTGCAGCCGCGTGCGCCTGGCTGCTATTGCCCTGCTGCAGCTCCCGCAGCTGGGACGACAGCTGCCGCACCGCCTCCTCGGCGGAAGCGTGAAGCGCCTGTAGCGGTACGAGAAAGCCTTGGATGCGCAAGATGGTGCTAAACTAAAGCTAAAGGGGTCTGTGCTGGGCTTGTCAGGGATTTAGCCAGGTTGCTGGGGATTGCACAACTGGGGTAGCGCAACTAGTGACTTCCTCTTACGGCTGTGAGGTGTCAGTGTTACGGTGACTTCATTCATTACCACCACTCTTAAGAGGGCACCGTATCTATGGTCGGAACATTTGCCGATGATGACCGTACAATGGAGTTCTCGGATTTTCCCTAACATTCACCACACCTAGACGGCGGCCGCCCTGCCCTGTGATTCAACGGTCGCAACCTGGACCAGCCACCATCCCCATCACCCACCCCTGTTAGTCACTCACCTGCATTTGGGACAGCTGCTCACGCGCTCGCTCGGCCTGCGACAGCGCGACACGGGCATGAAGGATGCCGGGCAATGACCCGTTGCATCTTTAATAGGAGGCACGCGTATACATACGCAGCTACCTCATCAGCTATAAATCCAGGAGCAAAGCAAGAAGCTCCCAAACGCACTGGCGGGATACACTTCCCACGCAAAGACCCTTACGCCCTTAACTGCTCCTACAAAAGCCATTTCCCCCACGCGTCCATATGCTCTCCCTCCCCATCCACGCATCTGGTGTTCAGGTAAGATTATTCACATTGGTTGGGTACATGTTCCAGCTACCCACGGGTGGGTGATGTGTCCAGGCGGGTTGTGAATCTGAGACCTTTAACTTTTCCTAGCTCCTAGCCCGCACCTGCCGCAGACGTTCCTCTCCCCGGCTGGCCGCATCCGCTGCGGCGCGCTCCGCATCGCGAACCCGCTTCTCCAGAGCCGCCGTCTCCTGTTGCAGGCGCCGCTCCATTTCCTCCAGCCGCTGCCGCTCGCGGACCTCGGCCTCCTGCCGTGCTCACAGTCAACACAACCGTATTACGAAAGAATTAAGTGCAGCGGCGCATACCGCTCAGCGGCTATCACAGTCGCAGGAGATGGAAGCCCCGCCCACATCCAGCCCAGGCAACAAGCAAGCAAAACCTCTAGGGTCGTTCAGTTAAACTGGCGAATCGCTGCCCCAGACAGCTTTAGTGCCTCACTATGACGTGCAGCACAGGTACCGGCAACTCGTACCCATAGCCACGTGGCAATTGCGTAACGTGTGAGTGTGTATACCTGCTTACGGAGTTTGACAAAGCTGGAAGCAGGCAACGGTAGTAAGGATGCGACGCGCAGGGAGGGGCGTTGCAACGAAACACACGTACCTCGATCCGTTCGGTTGCCCTGGCCTCGACGGCCTGCATGGTTTGCCGCGCGGAAGCAGTAACCTCTTCCAGTTGCCTCTCGGTTAACTCCAGTGAAGTCGCTAGCCGCTGCACCTCGTCCTGCAGCGCACCGGCCATTTCCCCGATTGGGCTACAGTTTCTTTTCAGCCGTGCCGTGGGCTCGAGGGTTCCAAGAGGGTTCAAGAGGAGGATTGCGGCATGTATACAATAAAGCTGGCATACACGCACACCACCTCACGCGTGCGCACGTAGATGCCTGCGCAGAACCACCTCTCCGTGCATGCTTGTTTTCTACGGACACACACAGTCACGGGGATGTGCGAGCTGGCAGCGAACGTCGTCGTGTCTCGCGAACGGTGAATGTGTGAGTGCTGCGGCTGCAAGGAACAGGAGTGCACTCGTTGCAGCTGCAGCCGCATGCGAACCAATGCATCCGCACCTATACTTCCCTAGTTATGTCGACACACTCCCGGCCCCAGCCGCAAACGAACGGCGATTCCTTCCTTCTTGGTCGAGCCTCATCGCCAAAATATATCGCGCTAAAACCTCTCAACTCACCCCCTCTATCTCCCTTCATGCCAGCCCTCCCCCAATCCCAGCCCCCAACTCCCAGTAAAGCTCACCTCTAGCATGCGGACATGCGCCCCCTGCGTCTCGATTTCCGCGCCGCTCTCCTCACGCGCCGATGCCAGCTCCCGCTGCAGCGCCGCGCGCTCCGCCATCACGGACGCCAGCGCGGCGCGCAGCTCATGGATGCGCTGGTCCTTGGCGCCCGTCAACACAGAGTCTTGGTCTGGGGAGCATACAAAAAGGATATCGGAAGTCATGGAACGTGGCGGATGTGAAAATACGTGTTAAAATAGGTTAGCTATTGAGAAGTTGTGAAACGCGTTGCGGGATTTATGATAAAAGCACACCTGGGGAAGTGGGGATTCAGGCAGGCATATAATACAGATTTGAGATGTGTCATGTGCAGCTGTTGAGCGCCACACAGCCCCAGATCAGGGAAATGCAGCGGCAGCTCCATGGGAATCGCCGGGGCATCTCATTGCCCTGTCGGATTGCAATATGCGGGTGCACACAATTAAACCCTGGCTATCATACTTTGGTGGTCTCTCATATTGGCTCGCTGCACGTTTTGACGTGAACGATTTTCTCTTATAGCACATACACATATACTGTGATATGCTGTAAACATGCACCGCACCGCGACCGTTGAAGGCCCGCGCGCTGACCGAGCCGTCGTCTCGCAGCGTTGCGGCCGCAACCACTGCGCTCTGTGGCGTCCCGCCAGCAACACCACCGGTCAAATCTCCCAGGCTGCGGGTCAGCGGCGGCACACTGGGCGACGACCCCGTCGCCGGGACGATGCCGGCGCTGGAGAGCGCCTCCGCCCGGCTGAGCCTGACCCTGCAGAGCATCATCGCCATCATCAGGCAGGGGCATTAGGAGAGCATTAGAAAAGCAGTTAAAATAGTCAACTAAGGTAATGAAATAATGATCTGGATATGGATAAACGTGCTACAGGAATAACCTTGCAGAGCCCCATCCTGCCTCTCGTCATGACAGGGTCCTCCTACCTACGTCATCCACTCTTTACCCACCTGAGTACCTCAAGCTCGGTCTCCACGGAGGTGCGCCTGGCCTCCAGCTCGGCATTGGCAGCCTGAACAGACGGAAAATAGGAGAAGAGGCAGCAGGTGGAAGGGCGGGACGGCAAAACGGTAAATGGCCGCAGGAAAGCAAGGGGTGAGGAACGTTACCTAGCGCTTGGGAGATGCGCCTACCCAACGCTTTCGCCCGCGATGGATTGCACCGCCCGCGCGCTCTGGCATGTACTGCGCTGCGGTGCCGAGACAGAAAAGATGCAGGCCCGCTGCTGCACCTCTGCCCGCCCACACGGACTTGGGTTTAGGGAAAATAATAAATGCATACGAGCTTCAAACGTGAAGGGCTCATGGGTTCGGGCCGCAGGCCTGAGATATGTAGAAGCGGCTCGGTTCGGGTTCCTTCTGACCCGTTTGCTGCGCTACGGTTTGGAAGTTCAAGGTGGGGACGTACCTGTAGGTGGCCCAACTGGCCGATCAGGTGCGCCTGCACGGCAGCTGCGTCGCCCAGCTGGCCAGAGGATACAGCGGGCAGCAGGGCGGCGGCGGCGGCGGCGGACGCCTGTGCGGCGGCAAGCTGCTGCCTCAGGCTCGCGATGGCGGTGTCACGATCCGTGACCTCCTGCAAAAGAGCAGTACCAGAAGGCGATGCAGGGTGGGCAAGGGTAAGAGCATGTGCACGAAGAGCAGGGCTCCATTGGTGACGTTTGACTTCACTGGGTTGCGACTGAAGGTTCAAGCAGCAGGCTGGCGGCTCGTAGCGGCGGTGCTTGCTTACCCTAGATATCGCGGTGAGCCTTTCCTGTGCACGCTGAGAATCCTCCTCTGCGGCACGCTTCACCTCCTACGGGGCAGGACAGGTCAGGTCAGGAAAGGAAGCCGGAGAGAAAGGCCATCCGCGATCCACACGACCGTAGGCGCTGCACTGTGACGGGAGCCTTCGTAAACCAGTAATAGGAACGGCTGGCCTGGAGCCCTTCCTTCGCTTACCGCCAGCTCCGAGCGAAGCGCCTCTCCCTGTTGCAGTAGCCGTGTAGCGTTTGCTTGGCTTTCCTGTGCATATTAACCGGAGAATGAAGCAAGGGCACGTTGAAGAGATATCGCCCGGCGCTGGTGGTCAAGGGCAGGTCAGGCGTCGAAGCATCGCTGCAACTACCCGAGCCAAAAAGGTTTTGCAGGCGCTCCCCTCACAGCCCTTCCCCCACCTGTAAGGCTTGTGCAGCGCGCTCAAGCTCCTCCAGCACCGTCGCCGTGCGCCTCTGCATCGTGTGTGCAATACTGTCACACCAAATTTCATGCCATGTGGTCATGTTATATGCTCACACGACGCCACGCCATCCCACGTCACGGCAAGTGTACAGCAAGTTCCTAGTCACTGACGTGTACTCGCATGGTTACATCTTGCGAAAGACAATGGTAGCTACGTGAGACACAACGGCGCTTGCTTTTGCGCAGCGGAACCATTTCTATTAGCTGTCAGTGTCCCATGGCAAGGTTCCACAGCCGTCAGACTGCCACTGCATGCAACCATGCATGCCACACCTGCTGCGGCTCCAGCTGCTCCCGGATAATTCTGTCCATGTCCTTGCGCGCAGCTGCCTCAGCTTTACGGGCCGCTTCGAGCGCCTTGTTAACTTCCGCCAGCTGCCCTGCCAGCTTGGCCGCCTTCTCTGCCTGCGCTTTGCGGTCCTGCTCAACGTTGATCCTGCGGGCCGCCGGGCGGTCGGGGAGGGGTGATGAGGAGACACGTCGGGTTGCGGAGGAGGAGAAATGGAAGGGCGGATCTGGACAGGATCCGAACACGAGCGGGCCTTGATGCCAGGAGCATTTGAAAGGAACCGGCTTCCAGCCAGGCATAGGTACCTAGTTGGACGGAACAGAGGCAGCAGCGTGGCCTGTGGCCCTGCCATCGCCATCTTGCCCGCATAACGATGCGAATCACCAACAAGCATTCCAGACGCCGTCGCAGTACCGGGTAGCGCGGCATGCACGCATGCGCTGCAATCGGTGCACAGCTCCTAAGTCACGCATGGTGAAAACCATGGTGGCAACGCGCACCTGCGTTCCTCGAGCCGAGACACTAGGGCATCCGCACGGGTTGCGCGGGACTCCGCTTCCTGTAGACATGGAAAGGGAGGAAGGCGAGGGCGTGAGAGCCATCATATGGGTCAAGAGTGGGTTGAACATACAACAGACTGGCTAAACTTTGAGGTGTCATGACAGTTACACCAGGCAAGAAACCGCCTGGGCCAAGATACGCGACAACTGCGCCGACAGCAGCAGCAACAACAACAGCAACGGCAGCAGGAGTGAGAAGCATGAGCTGGAGGGAGGTCTGGGGGGCTGCGGGGGAGAGACTCACCTGCACGCGGGAGCTGAGCTGCACGTTGTCGATCTGCATTTGCCGCATCTGCACCAGGCCTTGCCTGATCCTGCACAAGGCAAAGTAGCACAGGGAGCAATGTCCAGCAAGAACGCACACATTGCGATGTTTGAGATTTTTACAGATACACCCAAACCAGAGCTTCTGAAGAAGAAAATATTACTCAACGGCAAACGCATAATGCTTGGTCCCGGCCTCTCTGCTCAAGCTTACCGCTCGCGGCGCGCCTCCACAGCGGAGCTCAGCTGCGCGGTGCGGTGCTTCTCAGCAGTGAGCTGACTCTGGAGCTGCGTCCTCTTGCGCCGTAGGATCCGCACCCTGAAGTCGTCGGGGTGTGGAGGTAGGAAGGAGGCGGGCAAGACGGATAAGATGCCCTCGAAAGCATAAAGCGTAAAGCGTAACACACAGACCACACATAAGCATACCAGGCCGGACCGAGAACTAGACACGGACAGGGTCAGCAAGGAGGGCTTTCAGCGTTAAAAATATTGGGGATTGGAATAGGTCAATCGATGGAACACGACGTAGCTACGACAACGCCATCACGGACATGTGGCCCATGAATGTAGCCAGCGTTTCCCGCACCCACTTTGCCAGCAGCACCATCCGTTCCCGGGTACGCGGGTTTGCGGCCTTCCGCCAGCGGGTCACGTCGTCGCTAAGGCGTCGGATTTGCTCGTTGAGGCCCCCGACGTGCCGCAGCCCTGCGGCCTGCTCTTCCTGCAGTCCCGTCACAAACGTTACAAAAACACCACATGAATAAACAGGAAACGGATGCGAAACGCATTTGCTACAGCTGTGGCCTGCCGTACAGCTCCAGAAGCTACCCTTAACAAAAGCGCAGGCGGTGCAGGGCCCCCGCGACTGTGGATATCTTACCTGCAGTGATTGCAACTCGGCGCGCGCCGCGTCGAGCAGCGATCTTGCATGAGCAAGCTCCTCCTGCATAACACCAGTAAGGCCACTGTAAAGTGTGCTCTTGATTACACCATCATTCGCCGCTTCTTCTCACGGATCATGTACACCAAGAACGCGCGACTGAACACACCCACGCAACCTTTACTTCTGTGATGCTTCCTCCTGGCCCTGAAAACGTGTAACTTGTCTTGCACGACACATTTAACCTGTCTAACCCGCGCATTTTCCAGCGGCCCTCCCTACCTGCAGAGAGGTCACCAGCGCCACGGCGGCTGACCTGGCGGCCTCCGCATCACGCACGCGGGCCTCCGCCATCGCCTCCACCGCAGCCACCTGGGCCTGGGACTGTGCTGCCGCATCAGCGGCCATCTGCTCAGCCGCACGGGCCCGCCCCTCCGCATCCGCGAGCGCCGCCTCCCTGAGCTTGTCAGCCTCCTGCAATCACGTGTGTCCCCCAGCAATCGTAACGGATGAGGTCGATAGCGGCATCATTTACGCCCCTTTCTCATGGACTGACTAAGCTTTAAGCTTTAAGAAACCCATGGAGTGGAGTTAATCCGATTTGCACCTGGGCGTGCGGGAATCATGGGGAGCCCACATGCTCGGGGGGATGCAGGCTGCTCGAAAACGATTACTACATTGGTACCAGGCCAGCGGCGTGCGTCATGTTACCTCGACGAGGCCAAGGGCAGGAGGCAACCCCGTGCACGATACATCGCACATTCATCCTGTACCTAACCTGCATTACCCATCACCCCAAGCGCGCAGGCATTCCACACGTTTCGCTCCGCCAAACTGTAAATAATCCTGGCGAGGAGCACAGACACATAGCCCACCAGGAAGGCCTTGGTAACCTCGCCCTGCACCCGATCAAACTCCGCCTGCGCCGTCGCCTTGACGTGGCCCAACTCCGCCTCACATGCCGCCAGGCGCTCCTGGACAGTCATGTACACCAGGCGAGAGCGTCAGGCGAGAGCGTCAGGGACATGGGGTGGAGCAACGATCCAGGGCTGCATGCACTGTATCGCAACGGATACGCGCGAATTCTGTAAAGCTCCATAGTTTACCGTACCTGTAGTACCGCAACCTTGGTTGCCTCCTGCCTCGCCTCGGCTAGCTCCTTCATAACCTGCTCAGCAGCCAAGCACGACCTGTTCACTGCATGTTAGGGCAAGGTTCTCCTAACCTCGTGCGGTCCTAACCATCACCAACGAATTCAACCGCAACCGCAACCTACGCACATTCAATCCGTTTTCCTGGCGTACTGAAGGAGGAAGATGTTTCTTCTTTCCGGGATGTAAGGGAAAACGCTATGCTATGCCTGCCTTCGATGGCAGCAATCCATACGTTCTAGGGCAAAATGACGAACAGACAAGCACGCAGGCGATCAGCGCAGCTCCTAACCTTGTCGACGCGCTGCTCTGATCCCGCCTCGCGCTCCGTAAGGTTGCTCAGTACCTGCGACAGCGCCGCAGGCCACCGAGAAAAGTGGAGGGAGAGCACGAGAACGACGGAACGATGGCCTGCTTAGACACCCATATCTACACTACAACGGCGCAATAACCGGGCTGCTGTATGCAGTCCCTTCCCTTAAGGGTGCGTCACGGCGGCAGGGGAGAGGAAAGCCTACAGAAAGCCTACAGCCATTCACGGCGGCCGAGCTCATTTAAGTTCACAGCTGTCCCCAGGCCCCCACGTAGTATACGCAGACCGGCGGGGGGATAGCTGCCCAAAGGCGTGGTAGGAAGCGCAGGGATACGCCGGGCGAATGAGCCAGGAAGCCCTCGATTACCTTGCTCAGCAGCGTTGCGCACTGATCCCGGCCCACCTTCCCCACTTTAACCCCCTTGCCTGCAGAGCTGCCTCCGACGCCGCTGCCACCTTCTGCGCCAACTCATGTAGGCACAACGACGGAGATGAAGCTGATGCCACCGCCTCCGCCGTGGCGTTCTCCGGCCGCGGCAGCAGCTGGCCTCCGCTGCCCACGCGGCCTACGTGTTGTAAGTGCTGGTGGGCCGCTTGGAGGTGCTGACTAGCTATGGCTTGCTGCGCGGAGAGCTGATGGACGTGACCCAGCAGCAGTCGCGTAACAGTCTGCAACGTTTTCGAAACGACGCCAGCAGGGCCAGAGTTTTATCTACATTGCAGGCATCAACTCATGTGGCGACCAGTAAAAGCTCTACCGGAAAAAGGGAGGAGCCGATCCCTCCAATTGCAGACCCGCTAGCGGAGTCATGCATGCTAAGAAGGCGCGCCGCTCCTGAAACTTTGCGACGCTTTGTGAGTATGCAGTATGCCAACAACGGCTGGCAAAACCTTGGAGCCTATTGCCTTTGGAAGTTGACTTGTGTGTGGTCGCTGTGGGATAAAATGGGTGGCTGGGCGGCCATATCCCGAGCAGAAACCAAGCAAGGCCATGTACTGGAGAGTGGCCAGGCCTGAGGGGCCGCATCTGCATCTCTGCAAGCAAGCGACTAATAGTACATTACTGCCTTGCACACTGCGCGGATCCAGTAAATTCCTTTCGGAAGCTGTACCTGCGGGACATCATGGTCGCCGAGCCGCGCCAGGCCGCCCTCAGGACGGGATTCCCGGAGGGACAATGTCGTGGTTGCGGCCGACCGCGCCAGGCGCTCCAGGACGTTCTCCAGCGCCGCCAGCTGCGCTGCGGGTTCCTCCTCTGCCGCCCTGAAGGAAAGCTGGCTGGCTGCGAGGCGGGATGAGGTACCCAGCGGCATTCGCACGACTCCACCAGCTGCAGCCTGAGGTTGCGGGGCACATAATGAAAGGATCAGAGCAGAGTGGACGAGACCACACAAGAAGGTGTGACGCAACATGACGACACGGCTTAAGCCCAACGTCTCCCAGAAAAGTTAGATGAGGCCTAAGAGAAGCTATAGAGCATGGTCGGGGATGGTTGGTAACGGTGTAGAAGGTTGGGCATTAGGACGGGTCCTAGCTGGCCCTTTGCAGTTGCATTGCGGGCCAGGCACATTCGGTAATGTGTCGCGTGAACACGCCGTATTGAATGCTTATGCTTCATTGGGTCAGAGAAAGAACTGCCGGCGCATGTACCGCACTACACAGCATGCGTGCGGTCAAAGGGTTGAGCCTTGGGCTTTTAGGAAAAGGCAACGCGACTCTGACCTCGGAGAAATGTCGCTTGCGCGTACCTGCTGGAGCTCCCTGGCTTGCGAAGCTGCCGCTTTCGCAGCCTCCACGACCTGCAAAGGCGAAGCGCGTTCACACCCCACTGGCATGCGTCAGTGACTTCATGCCTGCGTTGGCAGAAGACTCATCCTGGGACAACAACATAGCCTCAACTCTCCTCCAGGAGGTAACACCTAATGACAGACAGAGTTCATAGGTCCCCAACGGGCACACATAAGCCAAATACGTTTTACACCTGCATAAAAAAAAATTCCTGCGAAACTGTGCCGCTTCTCAGCAACCTTGTCTAGCCTTCCCTGTCGTACCTGCTGGCAGAGGCCTTGGTAGGACGCCTCGACGGCGTCGGCCCGGCTGCGAATCATGTCGAGCTGCTGCTCCGCGGACTGGCAAAGAGGGGAATGCGCCGGACGGGTTCCAAAAGTGGATGATAACGTTAGAAAGCCTCGGGTAACGCATTTCAGTAGTACAGTAGAAGCGGTAGAAATATGGTAGCTTAGGCAAGGAGCTCCCAGGATAGGAACGCCCCGAACAGACAGGCAACAAGCCCATGCACGAGCATTACGTTGGCTTAAAAAACCCCGCCGACCACAGGCACTACCAAGTTACAAGTTGCAAGTTCCGCACGCAAGTGCAGTTGTGTCCGTAAAAGCCGGGGGCCCCATGGACGTTATATTAGTAGTATTGATGCGGGTACGCGGAAGACCATCATCATCATCATCATCCCCTCGTTCGCTTCAGGGTGAAGCGCCCCAGCGCGACGTGCCTGGCCTCCCAGATTTCCGAGAGGTACCTGGCCAATGCCAGGGGTGGCGCCTCAGTCATAATGGTGCACATGCACTATCATGCACCACCAACGCCCGCCCATGCTCCCCGCTGCGTGGCAATAGCTTCCTCTGTTACGCATGCTTTTACGTCTTCCATTTCCAAACCCACACACCTGCACAACCGCCTCCAGGCTGGCACTGCGCCTCCGTTCCTCATCCAGCGCCTCCAGGACCTGCGCCGCGGTTCCACAAAGCCATATAAGTGCATCCGGAGATGCAACCCAGCGAGTGTGCAGGGGCGGTAGCCACGCCATAACTTGCTGACAGCAAGCCTTAGGGACGAGGCCCGTATCCTCCTTACATCCTCGCCCAAAGTTACCGTTTTTGGGGGAGTCCGCACCGGCTGGTATCGCTGGCCCTCCTTATCCCCCCTTCCCGTTACCTGCTGCTTCTCCCGGAGCAGCATGCCCGTCTGTCCCTCGGCAGCGCTGGTGTTGTCCAGGGCGGACGCCAGCGCCGCACGAAGCTCCCGGATGCGCCCTTCCTTGATCTGTGGGAGGGGCCCGCCATGCGCCCATGCGAAAATGTCATATAACCGGTCGATGAGAAGAGAAAGGCTGAGTAACGGCCCCTCCCCCAATTCAGCCGGGCGGACGGGCCTCGCGCACGCTACAGTGACAAGGCAAGGAGCGTGGACGAACAGCTTTGACACACAGTGCCCCGGGGCTGTGGTCGCCCGGCGGCCCAGCCCAGCCCATCTTACGTACTTCTGCCGCCTCTGCGCTGCGCTGCGCCAGGACATTAAGCTGCTCCATTTGCTGCTGTAGCTGTACCGCCTGCTCGCGGCTGGCTGACAGTTCCCGTTGGGCAGCTGCCAGGGCGGGTGGCGGAGTGGGGGCACAGGCGCCAGCGGCCGTCAATGCACACGTCTAAACAAAACCGAACAAGGGATTTTCGTTCCCTTTCTTTACTATGACATGTTAAATTGAGCTCTGCCGGCCTAGTAACTGTATTATTCCGTTTAAGGAGGAGATGTTGAAGAGCCGCATAACCGACGACGTTCCGGGACACCGGCATAGGGCTTGCCTCAGGCGGAGTTACCGCACGTGCCTCTCACGTACCCTCGGCTTCGGTGGCTTGCATCCGCAAGGCCGACAGCTCCTCTTGCAGCTCACCCAGCACGTCCTGCAGCTCCTCGCAGCGCCGCCGCTCCGCCTGCTTGGCCTGCTGCGCCGCCTGCAGAGAGCCCTCCAGCTCTGAGCAACGATTGCGGGACTCCTGCATTGCACAAGAGCACACCGCCAATAGCCCACATACATACACGTGTTTTAGCAGAGGATAAACACAGATACAATGAGCTTGCGCCATGCGTTTTTATGCAAGCAACGCCATCTGTTTCTTAAACTTGCGTGTCAGCCGGCACGCGTCCAACACCATGCCGTGTACTTTTCCGCGTCCTGTTGGGGCCTAATTTACTGTCTCCGTGCGCGTGCCCGCAAGTGTGCCGCTGCAGAGAGACACGCATATGCTCCTCCCCACTTACAGCTGCAGAACTCCACACAACCATGCCTACACACTTAAACAATGCAAATCGGTTCGCGGCGTCCAGCGCCTTGCAGTCCCGCCCTAACGGCGCGGCCCTTGCTGCCGTACGCTTAGGGAGGATGGCGAGTTAGGACCATTCACAGGTCGTCTATTCAGGTACGCCAAGTACGCCACGTCCCAGGGCAGCCCATCAGAAGCTCCGAAACCCGGCACACCTGGAGGTGCATCGCCAGCTCCTCCACTCGCTGGGTCGCGGTGCGCAGCGCCGCATTGCAGCTGGCTAACCTTGCCTCTGCCTCCTGCAAACAAATGCGTACTTCGTGTTCAGGCCGAGTAGCATGCAACAAGCTATTTCAGCCCGCAGGTGTAGCACGCGTTAATCAGGAAACTATTCAACACGTGCGGAATGGACCGGCAGTAGCTCAGCAGTAACAGCCGAAGGGTGGAACGGCGCGAGGACACAACCTTACACCTTAACATGGGCACAGAGAGGGCGCCTGACGTAGCAGGCGCGATGGCGACTGCGTAAAAGCAGGTTTCGAAGCGACAGGAGGTGCATGGAAGGTGCACCTCCCACCTAACCCAGACCCTCCACCCCTCGCCATGGCCCCGGTGCCCAGAAAGCTGCTCCGCAAACCCTTTCCCCACTCCGACTCACAGTGTTAGTCTGTCGCAAGGCGCTCATCGCCTGGTCCGTTTCCGCCGTGAGCGCCACCTCACGCTTCTCTGACGCCATGTAGAGGCTCCGGGTCTGCGGAATCCCAAGGGATCCCACGGAGGACACATAAATGCCACGGTGTCGTGGTGTGCCATGGGACTGGTACATGGTGGTTGGCGGTAAGGCGGCATGGCGTAGCATGCATGCTACATGACCAGCCATGACCATAGTAAGAAAACGCCCCACGAGAAGCAAAAGCATTTAGCACAGAAGAGCAAGTTAAGGGGAGCAAGTTCGGGGCCCCTGACAACCGGCACCACATCCGCTTAGAGGTCTCCAGTACCTGCGTGACAAGCTCCTTGACGCGCTGCACCACCGCCGTCGCGTCCTCCTCCGCTACCTCCCGCTGGCTCAGCAGCCGGTCCGCCACTGCGCCGTAGTCACTAGCAGCCGCAGTGAAGCCGCTCAGCAGCCCCTCCGAGTATCCAAATGCAGCAGCCAGAGCCTGATGCGGCAATGCGACAAGGCCCACGAGACCATGACTCATTCCAGGGTGCAGCAAGCGTGTCGCGTGGGTGCGTGGCATGCCCGTGGTGTCGCGGCCCAGGTGCGCCGGGCGCCGGCGGATTTTGGCAAGCAGTGTGGAAGCGCGTGGACATGAATGCATCAGGACAGGACCAAGGCGTTGTCTTTCAGCCACAGCCTTGACAGACTGTGGCATCAAGGCTGTGGCCTTTAGGTTCGGGCGACACGCTAAGCATGTCTACATGGTGGACCAAAGTATTTCGCTTTTGTCAGGTCTGCACGGCCAATAAGGTTGGGAGATCGGTACTGTGCCGCGCGCTGCACGCTTTCAACCCCGCCAACACAAACACCAGGAGACACGTAAAAGTGGCGTTTCCTCCAAACCCGCAAGTGCACGCGGCACTCCCTCTGCTTGCCTTCTCTCCCTTGCCCATTTATCAGGCATGATTTTTCATGAGCCGATACAATGGTGACCACGTGTGGCCTCACCTGGGGTCCCAAAGCCTGATGGATAGCGGCCAGAGACGTCCGTAGCGCCGCATAGAGACCCTCTTGTCTCTGCAGGCGTGACTGCACCGCCCCCAACTCCGTGCGCAGCGCAGCGAGCTGCGTCTCCTCCACCTCCTGCTCGGGCCAAGGCAAAGTGACAGGAGGGCCGTGTGTCTCCCACCCATTCACACGCATAAAACTCATGGGAACACCGCGCAAAGGCGCTGTTCAACCCGGTAAGGTAAACGGCACCTTGTAGCGGGTGCGCATTCCTACCTGCACGTGCTTGAGCAGCTGCTTGTCGCGGGCGGCTAGCTTGGCATTCAGCAACTGAAGCTCGTTACGCATGGCGGCAACTTGTTCAGCCGCCGCCTGCCAGGGAGGAGTCAAGGAATTGGAGGAATTCAGTCAACTTCTAACATTCTTAAAGAGGCGCACAGTCACAGGAAAGCCGACCCACAAAAAAAAAGGCAGGCAACCGTTTCAGGGGATGTCTCACCGACCTCGAGACGCATTTCCTGTTGCTGACGCGCCCCCTCCGAGGAGCCCAACTTCTCCATCAGAGCCTGTTCCTGCCGCTGCGCGTCGCGCAGCTGTTTGTGGAGCGTGGACGCGTGCTCCTGCCAGGACACAAGGAACGCAATGCTAACGCCGCGTGGGGAGCAGGCCCAGGTCTAGCAGGGCGCAAAGCAGATATGCAGGAACACTACACGCGGTGCATCGCACCGCTAGCCAGTTGCCTAACGGGACAGTCTCATGAAACCATGTCTTATCACCTAAACATTGGGCTCCGAAACCTTTTGTAATGCACACGCGTGCGCTCACCCCAAACCTGAAATCTATAGCTCTGCGAACCGACGGATCCTACTAAACATTCCGTTTCCGTGTACATTACCTTCTCCTGCAGCAACTGCTTCTCTAGCCCGGCTCGCTCCGCCTCCAGGGCAGATACTCTGCTGGACAACTCTCGCGCCTTCTCCGCCGCCTGCTCGGCCGCCTCTGCAGTCCTGCGCCGCTCAAGCTCCAAGGACTGCCCGCCAGCGGAGTGGAGCAGTGGGCGGGGAATGGAAAGGGTGGGCGTAGAGCCACCGGGATAAGTTTTCCGCCCGTGGCGATCATGGCATTCGCCAATTTCGTGTGCATCCACTACCCGCATCGGGCATGGTACTCCAGAACTGAGGTCAGCCTCGATTTTAGAGTATCAGAGACATGGCGTGTGTGGAGCTCATGCACTGCCATGGGATCCATGATTTGCACCAAAACGCCAGTAAGGCGGAAGGAAGCCGGCCCAAATTTACCTGGTTGGAGGCGTTGAGCATCTCCTTGGCAGCCGACTCCGCGGCCCGGGCCGCCGCCTCCGCCTCCGTAGCGGCACGCAGCCGCTTCAGCTCCCCCTGCACAGGTCCGCGGCACCAGCAGTAGCACCAGCAGCCCACAAGGGACAAAGCAACCTCGCGTCCATATCCTGGCTTTTGTTTTTGGCCTAATAGTGTTCCCCAACCCATATGCACGAAACTGATAAGCACATCTACACCGACTGCCGAAAAGCGGCTTGGCAAACGCACACCGGAAACAGCCTTCGGGCCCTTCCAGTTACCGCCACCGACCCATTGAACCCCTTTGATCTCATTTTTAGCCTTTCCAAACCTTCCACAAACATGTGTGCGACCCAGTAGGCACGCCCAAACGCCGCCTGCTCGTCCGTTGTGGCAACCCAAGCTAGCAGGCTCAGCCCGTCAGCAGCAACCCACAGCCCGCTACAACCGGACCATTCCAGTCCTCTTTGCCTCTTTTAACCCGCTAGGATTTGGTGTTTCCCCTCGCTCTTGAAGGCTCTTGTTGCCCTACCTGGAGCTGGTGTTGGAGCTGTCCACAAAGCTGCCGCTCCGCAGCCATGCCCGACTCCAGAGCAGACACGCGGCTCTGCAGCCGCTCCACATCCACGGAATAGCGCCGCTCCGACTGCGCCAGCGCCTCCTCTGCGGCTCGGCAGCGCGCTTCCAGGGCAGTGCGCTGCGTGTGGGGTGGGGGAACGTGGGGCGGGTCGTATATCGTTGGGGGTATCGCTCATCCGATAACTCGGCCCCCAAAATGTCCGTCGCCAAGGAACAGTATAATGCTGGTAGCCGTGGCATCATATCCGCCAGGGAAGATGCTTTCATCTTAGCTGTTCATAAGCTCAAATGCACGGTACTAAGGGCTCGATGGGTTGTGGGTCTAGGGCCGACCCAAATCCTAGAATTGGAGTCTTTCCTTGCAGGTTCGGGAAACCCAAACCCAAACTTATCCCATGTGGGTCCCAACGACTGCTGCCCATAAAGTACGGCGGTAATGAAGAGCTGGCTTCCCGCATTAACCTAGGGCAGCTTCCTCCATGCCCTAACCCTTTGTGGAGTGACTGTATTGGAGACTTGCATAATGGCCCAGCAACGACCTGCAAACCAACCAAATGCATGCACGCCCACCTCGACTGTAAACGCCGCCTGCGCATGCTGCATGCTCTGCACATAGCCGGTAATGCCCAGGCTGCCACGTCCGAGGAAGCTTCCCGTTGAACCGCCCGTGCCGCCTGTGCCTGGCGTCGCCATCGCCTGCTGGTGAAGCAAGGCTGACACTTCCCCCACAGCTCCCAAGCTGGCATGCAACGCATCGGCACGTGCCGATCCATGCAGCACCGGTGTTGAATAGCGCAGTGGATTGTGGTGGGATGGTGGCACCGGCGGTAGGTGGCCATGGGCTGGCATGCTGCTGCTAGAGGCTTCCGGACCTATGGGTCCGCCTCCTGTAGGGGTTTGTCGGAAGCTGCCTTGGGCATGAAGGCTGTTGCTGGCCGCCAGGGCGGTAGCAGCCGCGGCCGCAGTCGTCGGGGCTTGCGTAGGCGCGGTTCCGAAGCCACCGAAGCTGGGCTCCCGTGGAGGCATGGCACTGGAGCGGGGCGGGGCTGCTGCTCCAACAGATAAGGAGGAAGACATCCCGACCAAGTCGGCGCTGTGCCTGCCGGAGCCAAGAGCGCCTCCTGCACTGTGCGACACAGTCGGAGGCACACCGATCGCCTTAGCCGCCGCTGCTGCCGCTGCGGAGATCGCGGCTGCAACGGAGGAGGTGCCACCTGGCCCACCGGCTGCTGCTGCGGCCTTGAGGCTCGCGCGGGCGCGTTCTAGCTCCAACTCCAGAAGGGTCGAGTCGATGCTCGCCGTCACATCAACTTCCCCTGCGTTGGCCGGGGGCCCGCCCATTAGAGTCTCGGCCGCGCCGCTGCTGCCCGCGCTGGCGGCCCCCGTCGCGGTGGCGCTGTCTTTCGAGGCCCAGTCCCGTATGCGCTGCCATTTGTGGCTGGGGTCGATCACGCTGAAAGTGGGGTATTGCGCGAGGGGCCCCTCCTGTGTGGGAGCGTGCATATCATGCTCGAAGCCCGGGTGCTGAACAACGGGCTGGATTGCGATATCTGCCCCTGTGATGACAAGCGCCTGACGCGGGGAGCTGACTGGTGCCGGGCCCTGCGTTGGGCTGATCGCCGGGCTTCCTGCTGCGGCAAGCGATGGGGTGCATGCAACGGAGGGTGACACCACGGTTGCCGCGCGGTTAACACGATGAACCCACAACTCGAATGTTCACTCAATCCATCATGAACCCGCGTCCTTTAGTCAAGCTACAAGTTCGCTCCGCTGCAACAACGCACCTATGTAGCGACCGGTTGGATCAGGTGTGAAGACGTTTGGATACGCCGGGATGCTAACGTTGTGCGCCGTCCACGGTGTCCCCATTTCCTTTCTACGCTGCAAATCCTGAGACCTCAACGCCCTAGCATTTGGGAGAAATCTTAACTGCGATGTTTAAGGATGACAGCTCAGGACAGCTGGAGTCAGATGACGGTATAAAGCGTTGACCTGGCTGACTTATGCATAACGCTATAGTTAAGACCCCGCAGCTCTCCAAAGTAGCCGGGCATGTACAATATATAAATGTTGTATGAAGTTCCGCTATGGTAATGCTAAGGTCTTGGGGTTTTCTTAAGCAGCTGTCGATCAAAGTGCACTATGAAATACTTCCATAACTCATGAGTCTTCCATAGACGTTTGCCAATTAGAGCATCTGTAAACAGTTTGGTTATTTGTACACTGTTATAAATGCTCGCTTCTAAGTTAGGCTCCTCTTCCGGAACCCTTGTCAGGCGGGAAGGCCTCCGGCTGGGATTGTGTCCAGTCCGACGTCCTTTAACAGTTGTGCATTACGCGTTTGTAGAGGAGAAGAGATCTGGTGGAGACGGAGAGAGACTTCCCCAGGCGGGGGTTTCCGTGGTGCCTGCGCATCAGCTTACCAGCATAGACTTCAAGGACTTGGCAGGGGGCCGAGATCTGACGGCTGATATTGAAAAGGTTGGGCAGCACACAACGGCTCGCCTACTGTTCCATGTCGCGCCTTAGCCTTCTGTCCTGCTTTACCATTAACTGTAAACCAGGCTCTGGGGCCGGCCGGGTTAGGCGCTGTTATCATAAGGAATGTTCCAACTTACAGCCGCCTCAGGCGAAAATTGCTGCCCCTCGCGGAGCGGTTCGCGGTAAGCACAACTGAGTAATGCACCCCGTAGAACCCCACAGTGCAAAGAAGGTGCCCCACGCCTGCCTCATTTCCCCACGCTGACCCACCTTCAATTTCTGTTGACATCGTCCAGTGAATCGTCTTGCTACTCAGTCGGCCATCCAGCTTAACCGGGCCCTTAACCGCGCTTTTGCTCTAGCAGTCCTTGCCAGAAGAAGTGAAGGAGAAGTACGTCGACGCGGACAGCCGTTACAACTTCGGCTGGAGCCACGGCAAGGAATCCCTAGCATCCGGTGTCCTAGATACCCTAAAGGGCTCCTTTTACGCGAACCCGCTTGTAGACGACCCACTGCAGCCCACCAACAGCGACTGGCTACAGCCATGGGAATTTCCCCCCACGACAGAGGAACCTGCTGGCGGCAAGATGCCGTCATCGCTATCCCCAGCTGGAGGCACGCACGTTACAGTCGCCACGGGCACCGCTGGGAAGAACCTCAGCGAGGATGAGGTATCGCAGCTCCGGCGCACGTATCCAGGTTACTTCCACAGGAACCTGTGGCCTAGAGAGGAGCTGCCAGAGCTGGAGGCAGCGTTTAAGGATCTGGGTCGGCTGATCTGCGCAGTGGGGTGCCTGCTGGCAGAGCACTGTGACAGGTACTGCGTGCTTGCATGCGCACATAGGGTAGCAGGGTACCAAGTCTTTTACGCGACCATGAGAAGCAGTTTTCCTCGGGCGACACGGTGTCCTTGGCTAGGTTGAGGTGGCCAGGGTGCCACCATCCCGAGCAAATGCATATTGAGAGCGTGGGTTGCGGAACATTAGCACGCGAGACAGGGGAGTGTTACAAGCGACGCCTTTCCCTGGCATTGGCAGGGGTGCTGTGTGCGCTGCCGATGCTGGGTCGGCAGAGTATGTGCAAAGTCCTGAAGAACGAGGAGAAGAAGGGCCTCCCTTCCGTGTTCGCCGCGCGCTCTGATCGCCAAACACATGTTCCTACACTCATGCGGAACCACCATCACCGAAATGGGCTACACGCAGGTACATCTCGACAAGGCTGGGGGCCCAGTCCGGCCAGGTATCAGGCGTGCTGCGCCGGAGCCTCAACCCAAAGGTTAGCAGAACCAGATATGTGAAGCGCCACAATGTCACACCCAGTGTCATCCAGCGTATAATGAAGAACTGTCCAGACAGCATTATGAAAGAGCATGTGAAGTCACGCACCATTCAGGCGAGACAGGCACCGACTACCGTTTCCCTGGACAGTTGCTTGCGGGTGTCCTCTGAACTGTTATGCGGGTTCAGGACACTCATGGCTGCTTGAACCTAGCTTGGGGCTAGCACTACAAAATCTTCGTGCACAGCTGTTAAGTCAGCAGTCAGGGGCGGGGTCGCTGGTTGTTCGTACTTGTCAGCCGGCCTACTGGCTCGTCTTTGGCACGCTTGACATCCGGGTGGCGTACTAAAACCCCGGATGGCATGTAAACCTTCGGCGGCCTGTCCCAGGCGCGTCTGCTGCACTACTTCGCGCCGTCGAGGTCGGCGGCGAACGGTGGTGACGTAGCGACCCAGCAGCAGCAGCCGGCCAGTGCCAGTAGCCAGGCGGAGGCGGACGCAGATGACGAGCATGCGTGGTGCGGTCTGCACACTGATCACGGCAGCCTGACAGGTGCTGCGTACCGTATTGCTGTCGTACTGGTTATAGCCCGCGAAGTTCCGAGCTGCGTTCCTCTTTTGCTGTTCACGCTGTCTTTCTCCCTCGGTGAAGCCGGAGTTGCCGCAGCGGAGGCCCCACCGAGGTGCCGCGCTGCCGCGTGCCGCGCTGCTTTGACTGTTTATAACGTGCAGGTGGCCGAGCACATGGTACCGAGCGAAGTCCGCGATAGGGATTGCGCACTGCCGGCGTGTTTTTGCCTATGCTCTTCTGAAGCCCATACATCGCGCATTTGTATCGTGCAGCCTGGCCGTGCAGCCTGGCTTGAATGAAATACATATACGTATACATCCCCAGCATTTTCGGTTTTTCATAGGCCATCCCTGTCCGCACGTCCTGGTATCCGTTTAGCGCGCGTTGCGTTGTGGTGTAGACGACGTTGCTGATTATATTACGATCATTGCCACCGCAGGCCTGACGGCGGCAATGTACCTGGACGAGCAAGGCCGCGAGGTGCCCTCACCCGATCCCGACGCAGGGCTCTACATCCGAGATCGCAACGGTCGTTTCACCCGCGCGGTTATCCCGCCCGAGTGCATCGCTTTCCAGGTAGGATAAACCCCAGCACCTGTTGCCGGCACTCCTGTCTGGCCTGTGGGCTACCAGCTATCTACCGGCTATCTATCTCAAATGCCCTACTTTCCCATCTACCGCCGTTCTGCCTCACCCGCCTTCTTCCTGATGTGCATTCCTCCATGCATGCATTGCTACCCTGTGGCTACTCCTGTGCGGCGCGAGTGCCGCCCTGCAGGTGGGTGAGGCCCTGCAGGTGCATTCGGGCGGCCTGCTCATGGCCACGCCCCACTACGTGCGGGCGCCACGGAGTCATCTGGCGGGGGGCATCAGCCGCAACACATTTGCGGTGTTCATGCAGCCGGACGTGGGGGAGCCCATGGACTGTCCCCCAGGTGCGCGCGGTAGCCTGGACCCAAGGCTATACCGATATAAAGCACATGCAGAATGCACACGCGTACGCACATACACACACTACAATCCCAGCACCTCGTTGTTGCAGCTTAGTTAATTTATACACACGCGACACGCCATTCAACTCCCCCATTTGGGTTTCCCTTCTCCCCTCTGGTTGTTGCTCTTACTACCTCGTCTGCGCTATCCACTTTGCCGCTGCGTTTTGGCCCGTGTTAACACAGCTGTATCCGCTACATAGGCACCTGTCCAGGTGCAGGGGCGCAGAGTGTGCGCGGTATTTTACACAGTTGACACATTAAACATGTCCTTTCCCGAGCTTCTTGGAGTAGTCTTGTCTTGTTCCGCTGGCTCCGTCTTACCTGACACATACGTGCTGCTGTTGCTACTGCTATTGCTGCTGCTACCGCTGCCGTTGCTGTTGCCGTCGGGTTTGCAGGCGTGGACCCGACCTGCATTGCGGTTGGGCAATGGAAGCCGGGGCACACATTCGGGGAATTCGCGGAGGCGACTTTCACGCAGTACTACTCAAGACCTCCTCAATGGTATGTCCTCGGGGGCTCAACCATGGAGTCCTCTAAGTTTACAAGTTCCGCACGAATGCGGGGGTGTCCGTCAAAGCCCGGGGCCCATGGACTATATATGAGAGGAGTGCGGAGCTGGCAGTGATAATACCTTTTTCTTCACGCTATGGGGAAACAGGGCATGATGAGGGTGGCCGTGTTGACATAGATGTATCAGAAGGCTCTAACCACGCCTTCAGACGTGGTCCAGCTTGCAGTCAGTACCGGGTGTTGGTGCTGTTCCTGCGTTGTGACATGTTCGCTTAGATTGGTGAACAATTTAGGGATGCATGCAACCGTTGCACTTTGGGCTTTGTGGTGAAGTGCCGCGCACACGCGCTGGCCGGTGTGTTTCCGTTGCGTCCTCTGCAGAGACGGGGTTCTTCAGGCGCAGGAGCGGCGGGGCGTCGACACAAGGGTCCTGCTTTGAATGGTGCAAACCTGGCAGGTGTCCTGGGTTAAGACCATCTGCACAGGATTCAGGTTCGGCTGGACTCACGTCAGGCCGGACAGGGCTGCGGCGAGCTCCATTTCGTAGAGGGAGCAAGCAAGCGATGTAAGGAACTGGATCCACAAATGCCGGTCCGTTTCAGTAGCCCGCGAGTTCGTTAGCTATATGGGTCTACACGACTACATTCTCAGTGACGATAGCAAATACGTTTGATTACGAGGGTAGCTGACTAAGGGTGCAATGTGCCGATGCAACGATGAGGTGCCTGGTGCTTGTCGTCCCTTGAAGGGGGTTTTGAGGAAGGGTTAGATATAGGTTAGCCGTCCACACTGTAGTACTGAACGTTTGGATGGCGGCCGTTCTTCATTGCTGATCCATTCGATTTCGGGCTCCGCAACCAATCCATGCAAGTTATTGCATTTCCAGTATTCCTTTGATTTACGAAGGGACAGCAATTAAGATCTTACTGGTTTCAGACGACAGACGGACTGCTACATTACAAATAGTCTAACAATGTGGATTGAAGTCCTGCAATTTAGAAACTAAAAATGAAACATGGCATGCGGGGTTTGCAGGTTTTTCAAGGGGTTGAGGGTGCGTTGAGTTGTCAACCAAGTAGGTTTCTATGACGGTGTGCCGCCATTGTTTGCATGACCACCGACCCGTGAACCACCATTCAGCGCCTTCAACGTCACAGTGTTGCACGTGAACGACGCAGCGACAGACCCAAATCCCGAAAGGTGTCAGAGAAACCGTAAGTGTGTAGGTCAGCGGCGAACATCTTAGAAGTACAAAGTGCGCTAGGGTTATATCAGAACCGCCCTCTCGCTAGCACCGTCGCTCCTGCAATGCCTCGTCGCCAGCTGTGACCTGTTAGCTAGGCTGTCGTCCGTATAACATAGTCGTATGCTTTATTCCAGGTCGTGAGAAAACATGTGCGTTCGGTAAAAGTTGACGTGTGCCGCACCAAAACAATGCCCGCGGCATGTTTGGTAAATCTTATTCTGGTCCGCTGTTACAACGTCCCACGCACCACTACACTTTTCCTTCCTTCTAGTCGCAATCCAGTCGAATCGTACCTATGTAGACTGGAATAGGTACAGCAGCAGCTGCCCCCAAACCCTACGGAAGGCACCCTTCTGTCTCCCCACACAAACACACCCAGCACTTTAGAAGCCATCCGTGGACAGCAGCTGCTCGACCGCCGCCACGATGGGGTCGCTGCCCAACCTTAGCTCCGGGTCGTTGATCTTGGCACCCAGCAGTCTGTCCATCTCGCCGCGCAACTGCCGTACCATGACACCTACCTGGGCTGCCGCCTGCAGGCGGAGGCAAGGGGGGTTAGAGAACAGGACGACCGACAGAGAGGAGAGAGAGGGTTTTGGGACGTGATATCAACAGGTAGGGCAATACATACATAGGCATGTTCATACATACATAGCTGGCATACATATGTAGTATGCTGCACCGTGATGATGATCCTCTTTCCCCCCAGGGTCCCAACCCAGTGTCGAACCCCTCTGCAGTGCACTCCCCCACGCAACCTCTTTTGCACCACCCACCCACCTTGAACTCGGCCCATCCGTCTACCCACAACCTGGCCCCGCCATGGTCCACATTGATCTCTCCCCCGAACAGCAGCAGCGCGTACACGGGTACCATGGAGGCCTCCCGCACGAATAACTTGCTGGTCTGGGGTACCGGGTGTTGGGGAAGGAAGTGAAAAGGAGCAGCAGGGCAAGGAGGAGGGTAGGAATGGAGGGAGGGAATAATATGCAAAGTCAAAGGAAACAACTGCCGAAGTCCGGGTTGGCTAGGATTCGGTAGAAGGTGCCAGAGGGCGATGGGACGGGGCAGGGTGTGGGAGTAGAGATGGACAGGGACATAAGCCCCCTTTCCTGGCCCCCTCCCTATTTCTCCTCACCTCTGTCATCTGGGTCGCCACCAGCCAGCCACTTTCAAACTTGCCCACAGTGAACAGCTGCGAGCTCGGGTGGATGAACACACGACCTCGCTCTCGGTCAAAGAACTTGACGTCCTTGGGGTCCGCCTCCGCCTCCTCAGTACCGCCGTGGACCTAATAGCAGTGAAGCGAGAAGTAGGAAAAAGGGGAGGGGGTAAAGACGAAACAGAGACGAAGGGGGCAGCAGTAAGAGGGTGGGCGGGTGGAACATCGAGGTATTGGGGTGGAAGAGAGAGAGGGAACAAGAATGGAAAGAAGTTGGTAATGTTGGGAACTGCGGTAAGCTGCAGTCTCACTAACCTCCAGGATGGTGTCGAACCACGTATCGAACCACGACCGAACCAACCAAATCTAACGACCAGCTACATATGTCACAACGTCGTACTTATAATGAAAACACCTATTATAAAACCACACACATACACGCACATCTATTCATACGCAATCCTCCTCCCCTCCCCACCCCGTACTGCCACATCTCCCCTACCTCCTTGTACTTTGTAGGCGGGTGCTGCACTCGCAGTACAGCCGGGTAAAACCCGGCACACAGCGCCGCTTTGAGGAAGCGCGCGTTGTCGGCGTTACGGTTGACGGGCGCGGCCAACCAGGCGCTGCCCGGCAGACTGCAGCTCGGCCCACGGCACGCCGCCGCACTCACACCGACCCGCGGGTCGTTTCCACCACCTCCTCCTCCTGTTGCTTCTGCTTCTGCTAGGAATCCCAGCTCCTCCAGCACTCGGGCGTATTCCGCCCTCCCCGCCTGAATGGACTCCAAGGAGGACTCCGAGAGACCGCACTCCTCACACAAAGACGAGCCCGCGGAGCGACCGCCTGTCGAGTGGGAAGGCATGTGTCTGTGTGTATGTCTGTGTATGCACAGCGCGAAGAGGTTTCGGAACGGAATGGAATCGTCTCAGGCTATGGACGATCCAAACTACCGTGTTTGCCTACAAAGCCTACAAGCCGACATACATACGCACGTACATACACACCTCTACATACCCGCGTGTAAAAGACAGCTCATGGTAACTTGGGAAAAGGCCCATCTACTCTTACAGCCCCCATTCACCCTTATCCACCGCCTTGCACCACGCATTGTACGCCGCCACCAGCGCCAGGTGGTCGCTCTTGGAGCCCGCCACGGGCCGCAGCAGCTGCCGCCGCCGGGAGGCCACCTCACCGTCTGAGGAGTTCTGGAAGAGAGGGGGGAAAGACGAACCACGAACCACGAAGAGGGGGGAGAGAGAAGCTGGTGGTCATACACATACATACAAAGATTAGGCAGGCGGCTGGCAGAGATTAAGGCCTGACTTCTGCTCCCGGCCGACCCGGGTTCAAATCCGCCTGCCGGCTCCTTGGGTGTTTGAGGAGTGTTGAAATGGGAGGTGGCCCCCCATCGTATGGACGATGTAGGACGTGATAAAATCAAATTGCGAGCTGACCAGGAACTAAGTTGATGCGCCGTTGATCCGCTAGATTTGGTTGGATGCTGGTGGTGAGTTGCCGAACCCAACGAATACATTCTGAAGTCGGATGGGGTGACGGATTAGGGTGCCCCTCTAGCAGGGGAGAGCAGGGACTGCCCCGGGAAAGGGGGCCGCTGGCGAAGTTAACCACCCTGTAACAACATACATACAAAGATTTACGTGGGGGGAAGAGCAGTAGTACCAGCAGCAGCAGTAGCCGTAGCAGTAGCAGTAGCGGGGAAACGTGCGTGAGAAGGGGCAAACCGAGGTACGCACACGAACACAGGAGGGGAAGGGAAGGGGGTCCAACAACGAGGGAAACTGGGAGGTGAAATGCGAACCCGGTAAAAGTACAGCGATGGCGATCTCCCGTACGTGTTTGGCCACCGGCCCCTTCCACGCTCCGACCCAGCCCAAACGGCCACAACCGCTCCACAACCGCTCCATACCCGACAACTACTACCACTACCTGCAAGTTTAGGAACACGGGCCGCCCATGCGCCATGGCCGCCGTGACCGTCAAGACTGGATCCAAACAGCCCAACATGCAGCCGTACACCAGCGCCTTTCCGACCCGTGGGTCCATGGGCATCTTATTCAGGTGCCGACCCAGTGATGTCAACGCCTCGTCGCCGTCAAACGCGCCGATGGTCCTTAGGAGCTGTACGGCAGACGTAACGGCCTTGGTCGACGGCGGCGACAGGCAACGGCTGAGGAAAGCGGCAACGCCGCCACCGCCGCTGGTTCCTTCTGGCACCGCCGCCGCCGCCGCCGCCACCGCACTGGCGGTCGTCATTCCCTTTACAAGCATGCACACGCTCTCCAAGGGCGACCTGATCATTTCCGGCTGCGTGTGGTTGGGCATGTTGTGGGTCCACTGCTGGCTGCTGAAGAGGCGGAAACAGCTGCCCGGCCTGGTGGCGGTACGTGTGTACGTGTGTATGCATGTATGTACGTATGAGTTTAGGGTTTCATAACCCCCGGGGCGGTTGGTTGGGGGTTGGGGGTTGGGTGGGGTTGAAAGGTGGTTCGGGCTCGGCACTGGACACAGTGACAGGGAAGAAAGGCTGAGGATGGGCTGGCGCAGGAGGACAGAGCGGAGGTTTACTTTTTCCTTTTTTTTCCCCCAAATGCATTGCTCTCCCAAACCGCACCATAACAAAGCCAACCACCGTAAGACACGCACATACACACATATTTGAAATCTTGGCCCAATCCACACATACGTACATACGTACATAAATACTCACCTCACTCGGCCCGCTCGGCCCCTCCGCTGCTGCGCAGCCGCCTTGCTGACCCAGCCTTCCTGAAGTACGGCACCAGGGCGTGGAACGGCATGCGGTGTACGGCATACGTGGTGCGTGATACGGAGTATGATACGCATGATGCGAAGCAAGGGTGGAAGGTACGGAAGGCGGCCGTCATTGGCACACACACACACATACACAACATACACCCCCTACCGAAATTCCCCGCCCTCCAGCCCCCTCCCCCACTCCTGCCCCCTACCTCCCCCCCCACCCACACATGCTCACCCACTCAACACGTACCTGCAGCCTGCTGATGCCCCTTTCCGGGTCGTGGCTCATTTCCTTGACCCGGCCCACATCCACCACCACCGTCACGTCATCAATGGTGATGGAGGTCTCCGCTACATTCGTACACAACACCACCTTGGTGCAACCAGAGGGGGGCCTGGGGGTTTAGAGCGATGGGGGCGGGGCGGAAACAGACAGACAGACAGGTTGTGCGGCAGGTCGGGCAAACACATTTAAACAGGACAGACGGGCCGGTTTGCTTCGACTCGTCGTCCGCCACCCCCTCTTCCCCCTTTCCTTTCCCCCCTCTCCCCTCCCTTCCCCCCTCTCCCCTCCCTTCCCCCCTCTCCCCTCCCTTCCCCCCTCTCCCCTCCCTTCCCCTCTCCCCTCCCTTCCCCCCTCTCCCCTCCCTTCCCCCCTCTTCCCCCTTTCCTTCCCCCCTCTCCCCTCCCTCCCCCCCCCGCCCTACCCCCAGGTACCTGGCGAACACCCGGGACTGTTCGGCTGATGACATGGAGCCGTGCAGGGGCAGTACCCGCAGCCCCCCCCTTCCCCCCGCGGCGGATAGCACCTTGCCGGACTCCAACAACAGGCGCTGGAGGGGAAGAGGGGGAGGGGAATCGAATGTCAAGTGGGTGGAAGGGAAGAAGAGGTAGGGGAGGAGGGAGAAGCCACGGGGCTACGGAAGGGCAGTCACGGGGAAGAGGAAGCGGGTGGGGGATAAGGAGGCAGGAGGGGGAGGGGGGCCCCGGAAGGCTGAGGGGGATGAATGAATTGGGGGAATGGCGGGATGGCGGGACGAACAGACAGACAGACAGACAGACAGACAGACAGACAGGCTGGCTGGCTGGCTGGGGGAGCCAGCGGGGGCCACTACAGGGAGGGGCGCTCTCACTCTCAAGGAGGGGGCACCTAAGGGAAGAGAGAACCGGGAATGCGGAGGTCTGCTAACGGGGTGTACTCCCCTGCCTCCTCCCCCATAAACACCCCTCGAACCCCCCCTCTGGGATCATCCTCGTTACACCGCCATCGCCCCCAAACATACACCTTCACCTACATATACATACATACATACACGCGCACCTGCAACCTGCCGATCTCCGGAGCTCCCGGTAAAAACACCAGGATGGCTCCCCCACCGCTGACGTCACCACGACCCGAGGAAAAGGCCTGTGTGTGTATGGGGAGGAGAGGTTAATGGCGTGTGTGTATGTGTACGTGCGTATGTATGTACGTGTATGGGTCATCCGCTGTCCGGCCCGTGTACTGTACAGAAGGATGTGTCAGACTCATTCAGCCTTTCATACGACAAACATACAGGCGAGATGTATGATACGAAACACGCATACATGCGCACATACATGCATACAAACACATGGCCCCCTCCCTCCCTCCCCGCCGTACCTGCGGCCAGTCCGACAGAAACGCCCCCGCCCCCTCCCGGCGCTGCCGCTCAATGATGACCGCCAGCAAGTCCACCAACAGGGCGTAGTTGATCTGTTTGTGGCATTACACACACCCGAATACGGTTCAAGCACATGTACACACACACACATCTCATGTTGTGGAATCAAGCCAAAGCCAGACTTCGGCTTGGTGGACTTCGCAACTTGGGTGGTGTGTGTGTGTGTGTGTGTGTGCGTTTGAGAAGGCGGAAGAGAAAAGGGGGATGGCGGGCCTACTGCTTGCCTGCCGATCCCTGGTCCCCTCCCTCCCTCCCTCCCTCCCCCGTCTATTAAAACCCCCCCACACACACCCCACCCTCCTATCCCAATCCCACCTGGCTCTCGTCCACGTTCTGCAGGCTCTTCAGTGTGTTATCGCTGTAGCTGCCCACCGCGCCAGAGAGCACCACCACCGCCGCCGCCGGGGGGGAAGAATCCGCCCCTCCCTCGCGACCCCTATCACCCCCACCTCCCCCTCCCCCCCCTCCCCCTCCCCACCCACCGCCGCCTCGGCGACGTGCATACTTGCTGTTCTGCCCCACCACATGACCCGTCAACTCAAACACGTCCTGCAGGGGGTGCCGTACAGTGATGGGGGAGGGGAGGGAGATGGCAGGTGTGGGAGGGGCGGGAAGAGGAGCAGGCAGCTATGAAGTCGAAGAAGTCAGGTGGGCCAGGCGAGGGGCATCCCAACTTCACAGACCAAACCAACCACCGCCATTTCCCCCCACCCACCCAAACTTCACCTCCCCAACCCCCCTACCCCTTCACTTCGTCATCCCGAGGTCACGGTCGCCACGGACGCCTTTCGGTCAGTTCTACGTTTGATACTCTCTTGCCCTGGCAGCAGCTGCAATCGTGTGTGGTTCGTCTTTCCCCCTACCCCCCTCCCCAACCCCCACCTCCAAATAGAACTCCCGAACCGGGTAAGTGAAGCCAGGAATGGTCATCAGACCCACAGACGAAGACGTAGATGCCGTCGTACCAGTACTGCCGCCGCCGCCGCCGCGGCGGCCCTTGCCACCGCCCTCAGCCGCCGCCGCCGCCGCCGCCATCGTCATGTAATTCGCAAAGAGGTCGGCATCGGCGGTGGCGGACATCAGGACCACCTTCAGACGAGGGACCGCCGCCGCCGCCGCCGCTGCTGCGGCGGCGGAGGATGACGTGGCGGCAGCGGCAGCTGCAGCTGCGGCTGCTGCTACTGCTCTTCTCCGGGCGAGAACGTCTCTCAGGAGCAGCAGTAGCAGGTCGATTTCAATGCTGCGTTCGTGAACCTCATCTAACACGATGTGGGTGGCGTCCTGCCCGTGAATGTGAGTGTAGGCGTGTATGTATGTATGTGTGTGGAGGGGCGGAAAGGTGAGAGGAGAGCGGATTCACAAACAACCGTCAGCTTATGGTGCTCTTTGCTCATCGCCGCCTTTGCAATTACCTTTAGAATATTACGGATGGTTTCCCCTGCTACCTTTCCGCATTTCCTTTTAGTCTTGGCGGCTAGGTAGGTAGTTTTCCGCTATCGTCATATGGCTACTAACATCATCGCGAAGACTTTTTCTTCTTCACAAGCGCCGACTGGTTAGTTGTGACTTCGTTACTTCTGGCGTGTCAGTCTATATCCTCCTTGGCATCACTCAGCTTCACTCGTTCACGTGGTTCGTATCCCCCTCCTCCCCCCTGCCGGCCCTACTTGTAAGTCAGGGTCTGACAGCAGCCGCCTGAGCAATATTCCGGTGGTGACGAAGGTGAGGCGGGTGGCTGCGGAGGTACGGTGCTCCAGTCGTACACTGTAACCCACCACCCCGCCCACCGCCTCCCCCCGCTCGGAGGCGACACGGGAGGCTAGGCCGAGGGCGGAGATACGGCGGGGCTGTGAGGGGGGTTGGGGTAACAGGCGGGAGGAGGAGGGGGGGAGGGAAGCGGAGGAAAAGGGGTAAAAATCCTGATCCAAATCCAGATCCATACCCGAGTCAGGATCCAAGTATCGGAATCCAGCAAGGGGGGAATTTGGAGGCTCTTGCTTTTGCTTTTGCTTCCCCTAGGTCGGTATGTAAGTTGACATAATACAAGGCAAGTCAAGGCACGGTCAGCCCACACATATAAGGCCCTCATGCCGTACTCACCCGCACGCATTCCTTATACGAGTGCAGAGCTGCATTCATTTTTGTGTGGGTCCGATACCCAGATCCCCCAGAGACACACAGACACACAGACACACACACGCACACACAGGCACACACAGGCACACACACCACCCTAAGACCCCACTCCACCTGAGTCACTACGATGTTGCATTTGGCGCCCTCGCCCGCCGCAATCGCGTCCTCCAAGATGTACTGCGGCACCTGCGAATTACAAGTACGACAGACAGTACGACAGTTGAGTTGTACAATGCATAGACGTAGGAAAAACCCTATACATACATACATACATACATACATACGCACGGGGCCCCCACAGCCACCCACCTGGGTGCTCTTCCCGCACCCGGTGGCCCCGCTGACCACCACCACGTCGTGCTGCCCCAGCAGCCGCAGCAGCTCCTCCCGCCTGCCGAAGGCGGGCAGGGCGCGGCGGGTGGCTCGCATGGCAGCATGGGCGGGGGAGGTCTCCAGCTCGGACTGGAGCCGGGCCAGACGGGCGCTCTCCGCGGCCAGGTCGATCTGGGGTGACCGGGAGGTGGAGGGGTAGGGGGACCGGGGGGAGCGAGAAGGGTCTTGTGGTTGGACGGGGGAAGGGAAAGGGACAATCAAACCCAAATCCACCCCAGCGTTATGAAAAGAGGGGTAGGGTGCGTTGCGATCGCGATGCTGGGATGCGCATCCAGCCTGGGAAGCAGTCCTGCAGGGCCCTGCCAGTAATGGTGTTGGTAGTGGTGGTGTTGGTAGTGGTGGTCCGGGTTGTATCGAGGGGTCGGGTTAGGAAGGTGTTCACGCCTATTTCGGCACCTTTCATCACGGAAGACGGCCACAGGGGGCAAGCTCCGTGTGTGTGTGTGTGTGGGAGGAATGCACACACACACACACACACACACACACACACACACACACACACACACACACACACACACACACACACACACACACACACAGACACACACACACACACATACAGACACTAGGGGGGCCCTAGACACACACACGCACACACACACAGACACACACACAGATAGACATACAGACACACACAAACCTGCGCGCGCCATCACGGCATAACCCTCCAGGTGTCACGGCACCCCCGAGTGATGCAGGTCCCCCACGTGCCGTACGCTCGTACCTGTGGTCGCCGCGGGCGGCGCTCCTGCACATCCCCCCGCCGCCGCCTCGCCCCGCCGGGCCCCACCCGGGGAGCTGTAACCGGCTTCCCTGGAGTGAGCCCGCCCCCATGGCGTCTGCCGGGTAATGATGCCTCTGTACGACATACACACACATGCCGCATGGAAGGGGGGACAGGGAAGAAGCGTCATTCCTGGATACTGCGACCTGGTCAACTGTCATGCATGTGGGGCACACGCACGCACGGATATATACATATATACACAGATATACATGTATATGTATATCTGTATGTATATATATGTATATACGTGTAAATATATGTATTCACATGTAAATATATGTATATTCATGTATATCTGTACATGTATATATATGCACTCAGCATGCTGCATACGACACGCACACACACACACACATTCCACACAGAAAACACAAAACACACCTTCCGCCCCCTCCTCCCCCTCCTCCTCTTCCTCCTCTTCCACCGTAAGGCCCTCAAAGCCCTCCACCAGGGAGCTGTCAGCTCGCTCCAAAACCGAGTCCGAATCCTCGTCGCCCGCATCCCAGGCCTCGGCCTCGGCCTCGGGGGCGATGGCGCCACCGCGGCCTCCGACCTCCGCCGCCGTACACAACTGCTCGTCCATCGTCGCAGCCGCCTCCAACGCCCGAGTAGCTAGGTCGTGCAGGGCGGGCTGACCCAGCAGCTGTTGAGATTCCTACATTCGATTGAAAATAATAGAAAGCAAGAGTACGACGTTCACGGCAGGGTACGGCAAGGATACAAGCCAAGGCACGAAACAGCTCGGCACGCTAACGCAGCAAGAAGAAGGGGAGAGGGGTACACCGCAGTGTGCTTATGGATACGAAGCTGTGTCACAGCCGGACAAACTGGGAGGGAAACTTTATGCACGTATTCATTTTAAAATCCTCTTATAAATAAATAGAAAAATTCCAGAGCGGAAAAGTGGAAAGAGGGTTTGTTCTTCAACGCACCGATGCGCAAACTGCATGGTAGGGAAAACACACACACGTACATACAGACCACTACGTCTACGACACGGAGGGTAGTGTACCGCGTGGTGCCGTACGTACCTGCGCCAGAACACGTGTCAGATGCCGTAACGCGCCCGCCGCCAGCCCCGCACAGCTGACCGAAATCAGCGGAGCGACATCCGGGTACGACACTTCACCGCCGTCGGCACCGCTGCTGCTGAGTCGTACAAACTGCAGTACCAACGGCACGTCGGCTCGTGTTGCCACAGCACAATCCTCCGGAAGCTCCAAGGTAAGCCGTACGGTATGCTCGGACACAACCGAAAACTGATTGTCGTAAATGCTCTCCAGAACCATCATCTCCTCGGCCCATGCGTCGCCGTCGCCGCCGTCACCGCTGCTTGGCCTTCCCTGGAGTCGTACACCTGCGATGTCGGACCCCGCCGCCGCCAGCACCGCGGCCGCATTAGGGAAAGAAAAGCATTACGTCATGGCACAGCGGTTGAAAGCAGTTAAGAACACGTAATGTACGACAATAACATATTAAAACTCGTACTTGTAGGCATGCGTTTGTCTCATACGGCTCGTAGGGGAGCCGTAGCAGTAGTGGCAAGTTACCCTCTGTTGGCACCGGCGGTGCTAGTCCGGTCTTATCAGTCGTGGCCGAGCTTGTTGAGGTGTGGTGCGTGGCGGTGCTTGGTACTTGTTCCACTTGTTCTTCCTTTCCAGGCCATGTGTGTGTCTTACATTACAGCGACAGGCGATGTACCCTTTGGCCTCTCTAGGTTTCTTTGCATTACGGTATAGTGACTTGGTAGCCCGCTGTAATAACAACAACAATAAATTATGTAATATTATATATTTAGATGTATTACATGAAATATTATAATAATAACATTATAATACAACAAAAACACAGACAGGCAGCCAACAATTACATGCTGTACCCACCCGTCAAATCGCCGTACAACCGCAGATGCGCCGCCACCTCCTCCCCAGCAGCCGCCGCCAGTGCTGGCTCACACTCAGCACTGGTGAAGCCGTACGACATAAGCCTGGCCACGGACTGCACCCGCGGGTCGGCACGTGCGACCACGTTGACCGCATTGGTTCCGGAGCCTAAGAGGTTGGGGGGTTGGGAAGGTGGACGACACGAAGTGTGTGTGTGTGTGGGGGGGGGACGAGGTGGGGGAGTAATCGAGAAACAGCGGAAATGCGGTTTTCCTTTTCTACTTTCATCGCAGTAATATAACACGGCCAAACACGGCCCCGCCTCAGCTCAGTTACCCGTTCACCTCACCCTGCGTGAGCTGCCCCGGCAGCTGATCTGAGGGCAAGTGAACCAACAGCCAATCCAACAAAGCTTCAAGCCCTATTGCGCCGGGGCTGGCGGCACCGCTGGCGGCGGCGGCGGCAGCGGCGCAGCGTTCGTACGCGAGCTGAACGTGCTGCGGACTGAAGCCCATGGCGCTGAGCTGATCCACGGCCGCCGCTAGGTCACCCTCGTTGACGCTGCTGCTGCCGCCGCTGGCGGCGGCGGCTGCAGACCCACGGGTCGTTGCCCAGCCGCCGCCGGTAGCGGCGGCGGCGCGGTCGCGCAGCAGGGCCTGGACCAACCGCTGCTTCGCGGCACTCATTACGACCACCTACACGGCGGCAACGATGTACAGCCGGATGTACGATAGTAGTTTTGCAAATGTACGGAACGCTTGGGGAGGGTCTAGCTCATCTCCCAGGACCCAGGGTGAAGCATTGGGGGCTGGGTATGTCCAGTGTCGAACAAGCGGTGGCGACCCTCACCCCCCCCCAGCCCCCTCACCCCCGCCAGCCCACCTGGGGGGTCCGCAGTGCTGCCTTACGGCGCCTCTCCTCCGCCGCCGCCTTCCTCCGGCCCTCCGCCCGCCTCCTCTCCTCCGCCCGCTGCTCACGCTCGGCCCGGAGCTCCCCCAGCTCGCACCACATGGACACGAACTCGCGAGGCAGGATGCGCTCCAGTGCCCGGTCACCTGGCGAGAAGGGGGGCCGGGGGGAGGGGCGAGGAGGGAGGGCGGGCGGGGTAAACGACGAGCCACAGACGAGTAAAGAGCTGGTACCAAAGAAAGAAAGATACTCCGCAGGAATAGACGGATACTGCAGAAAATTGTAAGCCGTCACCAACCCGTAATGACTCGGGGGGTAGCCATCGCGGCACTTGGCCAGCTGGATGCGAAAGCGTATCTACCTGCCAAGTCCAAAATAGATAATTCGTAATGACTTGCTTTGGATGTTGCACGGCACAGGCCCTAGCATGGCCCCCACTCCCGTCCCCCACCCCCATTCCCGCTCACTCCCATGCCCCGGTGGCTCACCCATGACCCGGTGCAGCGCCGCCACCGCGCCCCGCTCCCGCGCCTGCTGCTCATCCGCCGCCGCGTGTGTGTCGTCCAGGAAGACAACGATGTCGTCCTCTCGCCGCTTCTCATCCGGCAGGACCACCTTCGTACGTACGAAGTACGATACAAGACATACAGTAGAAAAAATGTGCACTGACTTCATCAGGGTGATCAACTCCACCAACCACCCATCTCTCCACCGTTACACTGGGACTGAGGGCCCTCTCGCCATTACATATTTACCTCTTCATTCATCTTCTCACCTCCTACCACCATCTTGAGGCCTTCAGAGGACCTCTTGGGGGAACCCCCTGGCCCACCTGAAAACTGTTTACCTACACTACACCCCTATTTCGCCCATTTTCCGAGTTCCCATTTCCCGTACATCGCCGTACCTTGCACGTCCACCTTCCATCCTCAAGCTGGCGAGGCTGGTAGTGGGCCTTGCGTCGCTTCTCTTTCTGGATCCACTCGTGGAGGTGCATGCTGGGGCTCTTGGAGGTGTAGTAACCGGCGCGGCTGTTGATCTGCATCACCGTGCCACCGCTAGAACCAGATCCAGCCGGGGCGGAGGGTGCGGAGGAGGAGGCGGCGCTGCAGCTGCTGCCGGCAGCAGATCCGGCCATGCCGGCAGTCGCCACTGCGATGCATATCGGCGTGCGGCAGATCAGGTGTGGGGGAGTCTTTCAGGGCCAGAGAGACTTTTCGGCGGGGAGGGGAATGTCGTACACATTGCACCGCACGCATACAACACTACACCCGCACCCGCCTGAACGCGCACGCGCATACATACATACATGCATACATACAAACAAACACACAATCAAGGGTGACATGCATTCAAGGGAGAGATACTCTGCGGTAAAGGCAGCAGGGTTCCGATTCCCGCTTCCCCCA